CCCTCACTACCATTCCTCAGACAGGGCCCACAGAATGGTCGGAATCCCACCATCACTTGAGGAATATGGCTCAATTTTCGGTTTATTACCGAGGCGCTAAAACAACACAGGTGCCTAGAAGAACAGACTTTCTAGTTTTAATCATTGTGAGAATTTACTAGGGCAGGGGATATAACTCAGTTGCACAAGTGCCTGCCTGGCAAGTGCAAGGTCCTGAGTTTGATTGCCAATACAAAAGGGGGTGGGGAATTTTACTTGATTTAAAAGGAAAAAAAAGTAGGAAAGACATGCAGCTTTTATGTCTTTGTCTGCAAAAGAAGACCTGTGGTAAGTGAGACAAGACAGTGCAGAAAGACTCTGCCAGAAAGACCTAGGCTGAGGACAGGGAGGAAAAGCAGACAGACAGCACATGTGGCCGGAATCTTAAGCAGTCTCTTCTACTCCTATTATTTACCATAATAAGGACTGAAGACTTTTGCCAGGGAATGCGAGGAAGAAATAGGACTCTGTTTATTTGTGTGACCATAACTGTCTTTCTCAAGGGAGGTTTGCTAAAATGCCTCTGAAAACTTAAAAATCTGTATGTACTGTTTTTTTTTTTTTTTTTTTTGTCTTTTTCGTTTTTATTGGTACCAGGGATCGAACTCACGACTGCCTGCTTGCAAGGCAGGTGCTTATGCTGCTGAGCTAAATCCCCAGCCCCAAAAATCTGTATGTACTGTTGATCACTCATAGGAATTTATCTTTTTTTTTTTTTTTTTGTCTTTTTCCTTTTTATCGGTACCGGAGATTGAACTCATGACTGCCTGCTTGCAAGGCAGGTGCTTATGCTGCTGAGCTAAACCTCCAGCCCCTGGAATTTATCTTTTAAAAAATGTGCCAGAATCCATACAAAGAGCTATATATAAAGGAAGGTATTTAACAGGGTTACTTATAATAGCAAGTATTCAAAATAATTGCAATGTCCAACAGTTGGAGGTAAAGGATGATTTATCTATGGGTAGATAGTGAAGCTGTCAACTGAACATCATGTTTTCACAGATTTAATACTCAAAAGAAATAGCATCTGTACAATAAAAATTTTTAAAAGGTAAAGCATTTTGTAATACTAGTTTTGTTTTAAAATACCATATAAATGTACAAAAAAACTAGAATATATAAAATCTTTCAGGGCTGGGGATTTAGCTCAGCGGCATAACCACCTGCCTTGCAAGCAGGTGGTCGTGAGTTCGATCCCCGGTACCGATAAAAATGAAAAAGACAAAAATAAAATAAAATAAAATTTTTCATTATATTTAAGGAAAGGATCCTGGGTAATTGTTTATTTTCTTTGCATATTTCTGCATCTATACATTTTTCTAAAATGAATGTAATCAAATAATAAAGAAGTTGTAAAAAAAAAAAAAAACCCAAACTCCCTAAACATAGTCACTTGACAATGAGTCAGGATGGTTGTTACAATAAAACTTCGTAAGAGTAAGTGGTGTCAGCCAGGCGTGGCGTGAAATTCCAGCAGTCAGGAGGCTCAGGCAGGAGGATCATTGCGAGTTTGAGACCATCCTGGGCTACAAAGTGAGCTCAAGTCCAGCCTGAACTGCATAGCGAGACCCTGTCTCAAAAAGACAAAAAAAAAAAAAAAAAGAGTAAGTGGTGTCAACCAAAGAAATTACCAATGGAGTAAAAAGAAAACCCACAGAGTGGGAAAAACATTTTGGCTAGTTGTCCTTCAGACAAAGAGCTTCTTTCTAGAACGTACGAAGAACTGAAAAAAAAAAACCCCAAATTCAAAGACCCAATCCAAAATGGGCATCTGAGATGAATATACACTTCTCAGATGAAGAAATACAAATGGAAAATAAATATATGAGAAAATGTTCAACATCATTGGTCATCCGAGACATGCAAATTAAAACAGCACAGAGATGCCATCTCACTCCAGAAAGAATGGCTGTCATCAAGAAATCAACTAATAACAAATGCTGGCAGGGCTGTGGGGGAAAAGGAACCCTTCTCCATGGTTGGTAGGAATGCAGACAGGTGCAACCATGGTAGAAATCAGTGTGGAGATTCCTCAAAAACTAGGAATAGAGGTTCCATTTAACTCAGTTATTCCTCTTCTGTAGCTTCCAAAAAGAATTAAAAACATCCTATCAAAGTCATATATGTGCACCCATGTTTATAACAGCACAAGTTGTAATACCTAGATCTTGGAAATAACCCAAATGCCCATCAACTGAGGAATGGATAAAAAAGATGTGGTGTTTTTATACAATGGAGCCATCAAGGATAGACTGGAGACTTTATAGGTAAATGGATATAACTTGAGACCGCACTCATAAGTGAAATAAACCAAATGCACATGTGCAAACATTGTATTTTCTCCCCAGTGTGAGAAGCTGAAAGAGTAAGTAAATTCAAAATGTACAATAGATACTATAAAATGCAAAGCAAGGGTTTAAAAGGAAGAAAAATTGGGATGGGGGATAGAAGAAAGGGAAAAGAAAAAAATACATACATTCAAGATACTTAAGATAGGGGCTGGGGGTTTAGCTGAGCAGCTAAACCCTTCTGAGTGCTGGGATTAAAGGAGTGTGCCACCATGCCTGGCTCTTTTGTTTGGGTGAGACAGGGTCTCAATATGTAGTGCACACTGGCCGTGAGGTCACAGTGACCCTTCTGCCTCAGCCTCCCAATGTACTATTAACTACTGAGAAAGGAGTAGTGTATCCAACTACAAAAAAGGAAATTTGCTGATGAGAAAGTCTTGACTCCTGTCACTATTTCCTTTCCCAACTGATCTTTAAAACCCAGGAGGGAGGAGAACAAAAACAAAAGGAAGTTTTCTCCAGTGACAAAAGGCATCTTCTTGCCCAGAAGAGCTCTAACCCTCAGGTGACTTCAGTCAGTGGGGTCATCCATAGTAAGGCAAGCTGGAGACTAATATACTGGTCAGCAATGGGACCTGTTAGTTGATTTTAAAATCAGCTGAGAGCAGATGAAGATGGAAGAGTTAGCTTATCCCCCAGTTACAATTTTTGCTACCGTTTAGAGCCTAGGTTCTAAAGTGTGACTCCCAGAGCTGGGCGCGGAGGCACACCCCTGTGAGCCTAGCATTTGGGAAGCTGAAGCAGGAGGATCACCGTGAATTTGAGGGAGCCTGGGCTCCATAGTGAGTTTAAAACCAGCATGGAATACATGGTGAGACTCTTCTCTTTTTTTAAAAAACTGTATATAGATATATATGTATCTCCCAGAGCGAGACCCAGGCCCACTGAATCAGAACTGGGCACAGGGGTACAGTCTGCATTTTAACACACCCTCTGTGTGACCTGACACAAGCTTGGGTTTGAGAACTATCAGTACAGAGATCTCAAAGAGGCTGACAGGTAGTAAGGTCATCTCATTTTTCTTTAGGTGTCAGAGATGGAGCAAAGCCTTGTGTCTGCTAAACCAAGCGCATACCAGTCCTCTGAGTTTCCTTATAATGTGCTATAAAGGTAAAATGTAGAGTTATACATGCCGACATTGAAAGGGAAAAACTGTACAAGAGAAATTGTTCTTTTTTTTGGTATCAGGTCGAACTTACAACTGCACACTTGCAAGGCAGGCACTTATGCCGCTGAGCTAAATCCCCAGCCCCAAGAAACTGTTCTTTGTAAAAATTGTTCTTAAGATGGGTGTGGAGGGGCTGGGGATTTAGCTCAGCGGCATAAGCGCCTGTCTTCCAAGCAGGCAGTTGTGAGTTCAATCCCTGGTACCCATAAAAAGGAAAAAGACCAAAAAAAAAAAAAAAAAAAAAAAAGATGGGTGTGGTGTCACACGCCCTACTACCAGCACTCAGGAGGCTGAGGCAGGAGGATTGCTGCCAGGTCGAGGCCAGCCTGGGCTAACAAGTGAGTTCAAGGCCAGCCTGAACTGCACAGTGAGACCCTGCCTCAAAAAAGACAAAAACGAAAACAAAAACAAAACAAAAAACCCCTTCGGTCTTTTGAAAGTACCTACCTCTGTAACTGCTCCACGGCTTTGTAATTACTTTCTTGACCCCTGTAACCACAGGAGCTGCAACCAAACATGCAGGATACCCGACTGTACCATTGTACCAAGGTTCATAAACTGATGATCCTTAATTATTCTTGTAATTGATGATCTCATTCTGCAAATCAGAACTTCCAGGCTGACCTGTCTTGCCTTGGTACCTCCTGCTTGTACATTATATAAAAGCCCTAGGCTACCAGAGATTGGGGCCTGATGTTCAGGGAATGACCCAGTTTATCGTGGAGATAAATCTGATTCCCAATCCTGGGTGTTGTTTTGGTGTTTCTGGTCACCATAGCAGTATATATGTATATACATTTTTTACGGCACTGGGATTGAACCTGCACAAGGAAAGCACTTTATTACTGAGCTTCATACAGCCAACTCTTTACACTTTTTTTGGGTTTGTTTTTAGTTTTGGGGTAGTCTTGCTACATTGTCCAGGCTGCCTGTAATTTGCCATCTTCCTGCCTCGACCTCTTGAATAGATGGGATTACAAGCGTACACAACCAGGCTCAGCATGTTAAAAACGGTAACATTACGCAGTCTTGCTAATATCTTATTAAAATATGAACCACACAGTAATAGATTTTAAAAAACTGGAAAAACAAAAATAACATCTGCAGCAACCAGCACTGCACACAGCCTGCCCGGAGCCATGCCATGAACCACGTCGGTCGCGGTCGGTGATCTCTTACTCTCTCGCCCGCAGGTCCTCCGGATTTACCCTAACCTTTTCTGCTCACAGAGACATCTCCCTGTAGCCCCGAGCGCTGCTTCCGCCGCGCCTCGGAGTGGGCCGGGGTTGCGAGTCGCTGGACCCGGGGCGGCAGCCCTCGCGCCTAGTCCAAAAGCCCTCGAGGCCCCGCCCACCCAGAAGTCATTGCGGCACCGCCCAACCCCGGAAGTTCCTGCGTCTGGGTTGCCAAACCCGGAAGCCCGCGCGGCCGGTCCCCGCCCCGCCTCCTCGCAGACCCGGTCCCTCAACGGCGGTGCAGGTGCGGGCATCCGGTGGGACGTGCGGCCCGGCACTCGTACTGGCCCACCTGCGCAGGTGGTGGTCTCCACCGGCTGTCCTCCCAGCGCGCTGGGCCGCAGAGGGCTGAGCAGACGCGGCCGGCGGGTGTGTGTGCGAATGGGTGTGTGTTTGCGCAGTGCTGTGCGTGGGGCGGGGGCGTTCGTGGAGTCTTCAGCTGTCGGCGGAGGGTCGCAGTCATGGCTCTCGGGTTCATTGTTGAGTTTTCCAGTCGCCACTTGAGTGTTGGCTGTCCTGGGCGCCATCGGTGCAGTCTCCGGGAGTCAGCATGCGGGCATAGCAGCTTCCCGCCTCGCTGCCGCCCTGCAGGTGTGGGCCCAGCTATGATGGGAGAGCAGAGAGCGAGCTGCTTTCTGTCCCGACAGCGGCCTCAGCCACATGGGACTTTCGATTCCCTTTTTTAAAGGAGGGCACCATAGGGGACAAGGGGTTCCGGTGGGTCACCGTGCCGGGAGTTTGAGGGTTGCTGGGGACCAATGGCTTTGGCAAGGCTAAGGTTTCCAGGTAGGACGGTCAGGCAGGGAAGGACGAGGCCAGCGCAGGCTGGGTGGGCGGTGCGACCCCATGGCGGCCTGCATAACGGAGCACCGGAAGGCTCAGAAAGGAAGCCAGGTGAGGCCCGCCTGTGTGCCTTGCCTCCAGCTGTGTCTGACCCTGTCACCGCTGTCCACAGCCAGTGCAGACACTTTCCAGGATGTACATGCAGGTGGAGACCCGCACCAGCTCCTTTCTCCATCTGAAGAGGGCTCCAGGCATCCGGTCGTGGTCCCTCTTAGTTGGTAAGACTTTCTAAATGTTCTCCTAAAAGAAAAGCCTTAAAATGATGAAAACAAATTGAACCAGTTCCTCTTCTGTTCTACCCCAAAGGAAACCTTTTTTTTTTTTTTTTTTAGTCAGATTTTTCTCCTACCTACAAGGGCTTACAGATACTTTTTCTTTAACACAGTGTTTTTCTTCCTCCTTTTTCCGCCCCTGAGGTCACTATAGTGTGTAAAACTTGCTTTGATACTCTGGTCTGTGTGGTGGGTGTTGGTTGGTTCCTGTCTTCCTTTTTCCTGTTTCAGACCCCTTCTCTAGTCCACATCACTTCCTGACTTCCACCGCCCCCGCTTTGCTGGTCTCTGGGAGGGCTTGTGCCCTTGGGGCAGCCTTGCGGCATTTACTGCGGGTGTGGTGCTGGCCCTCCCTGAAGTAGCTGTGTCTCTGGGCACTCTGTAGCCTCCTGCACGCGGTGCTGTGTGGCTCTCTGTGTGGTCTTCTTTGCTGTGGGAGTGATAACTGTCTCTGGCTACTTTATGGGTTTCTGGAGAACTCCAGTCATGTGCACTGAAGTTTGTACAAATGCGCTGGCTGTTTTCCCTGCACTACATGGAAGGTCTTTGCCCGCTGTGCCCCAGAACACAGCTTTCTCCAGATGGGAGCATCTACTGGCCCTCACCACAGTGTGCTTCCCATCTTCCCACAGGCATCCTGTCGACTGGGTTGGCTGCTGCCTACTACAGTGGAGGTAAAAGACTGTCTCTCCTCAGTTTCCTCACCTGTTTGGAAGAACTTCTTTGTGAGTGATTGTGGCATGGCCTTCGGGGTGGCCAGTGCCAACCTTGCAGTGGTGTGCTACCTACAGGCCTGCACTTCCAGATCTCAGGCAGTTTGTCGTGTCATAAAATATTCTCTGAACCAGGCTCTAGTGATTGCCTGAGATCCTGCTGCAATGGAGGAGCCAGATTCAGTTCTCCATCTCACTCCCTGCCTCTAGCTAGACTCCCAGGGGCAGGAGTAGTCTGGCCCTTGGCTGTTGCTCCTGAGGCCTGTGCCCAGCACTGGGGAAAGGCTGTGCTGGGGTTGGTGCCTTTGCATCTTTGCTCATGGGCTGGTGTCTTGTGTCTTCTGCAGATAGTCTGGGATGGAAGTTCTTCTATGTCACTGGCTGCCTGTTTGTGGCTGTGCAGAATCTGGAGGACTGGGAGGTAAGGCTGTGCAAGTGGAGCCCTTGTTCCTGTCCTGGAGTGTTTGTCCTAGTGTAAAAGGGTCCACATAGCTGGACTTGGCCCCTGGACATTGCCTGTAGTCATCCCTGGGCCCAGGAATCTGCCAGAAATTACTGATGATTGTTCTTACCAACATTCTCTGCACTCCTGGGGCTGCTGGGGTAGAGGGGTGAGTGTCCCCTCCTGTAGCCAGCCTCTTCTCCCTGCCTACATTGCCCTTGGGAGTCTTTGAAGCCACCTGGCCTGTACTCCTCACTTCTCTGCCTCATGTGGCTCACTGCCATCCCATCGCGATGCCAAGAGAAGAGGCCATTTGCTCTGTTGACCACTCTGTTTTGCCCTGATGTCTCGTGAGAGTCCTGGGATCAGATGGCAGACACTGGGTTCTGGTGTGGTGGACAGCTCTGGGGGTTCTAACTGGGAAGCCCCTTGGTTGGCCACTCTGGTGTGGGTAGGGGTCAGGGCCCTCCCTTGGAGGTCTGTGTGTAGTCAGTGCACATCAATTTCTAGGAAGCCATCTTCAACAAGAGCACGGGGAAGGTCATTTTGAAAACATTCAGCCTCTACAGGAAGCTGCTGACCCTTTTTAGAGCAGGCCATGACGAAGGTGAGATTGGAAATCTGGATACCGTGCAGATGGGGGAAATGGGACACAGCTTGGGTCCAAGATTACGTGCTGTGATGGGGTCCCCCAGATGCACCCTGGCCTATGGGGTGGGCTGTGGGCAGGTTTCTTCAGAGCATCAGCCTATCAGGGAGGAGGTGGGTAGTGAGGAGGGTCATGGGACCATGCAGGTGGGCCACTGTGTGCCCAGGGGGCCGTGGCTTCTGACCTGTACATCCCTGCAGTGGTGGTCCTGCTCAATGATATCCGGGACGTGAATGTGGAGGAGGAGAAGGTCCGGTACTTTGGGAAGGGATATATGGTGGTGCTGCGGTTCTCAACAGGCTTCTCCCACCCTCTCACCCAGAGTGCAGTCATGGGGCACCGCAGGTAAGAGGACCAGACTTGGGAAGTGTGGGACCTTGACCTGACTCTCATTATAGACTGCTCCTTATCTGGGGCACTGGGGAGAAATAGGGTCTGGGGGAAAGGAGATATGTGCTAAAGGCAGCTCTGCCATGCTGCCCACAGAGGGCTAGAGCAAGCAGTGCCAGGATGAGAGATTCTGGGCCCAGTCTGGAAGCCCCGAGGCTGCAGTTGGGTGTTCAGGGGTGAGGTTGGGGTAAGGACTTGCTGGCCGCTGTGAGGCATGCCCTGTGACAGATACCCTGCACTTCATCTTGGTCCCAGTGATGTGGAGGCCATTGCTAAGCTCATCACCAGCTTCCTGGAGCTGCACCGCCTGGAGAGTCCCTCAGAACGGTCCCACAGCAGTGACAGTGAGGCCGATATTCCTGGCAGCCAGAGCTGACGGGTCCAGCATGGCTGTGTGTGGGCCCCATCCACAATATCTTGGCCTGGGCTTCCAATGGTGTCTTAGCTCAGCAGCCAGCCACAAGTTTCCTGACTCATCCTGGATGTCTGCCTGTGACTCCTGGGGTAGCGAGGATGGACTGCCTGCCTCTGCCTGTTCACACTTCTGGCTCCATTCTGCCCAGAGCCATGCTCATGGCCAGGGGGCACTTTAAGATGCAGGAGGCACATGCTTCTTCCAGGGACTCAGCAGTCACCACACCTCTCAGAACCGGACAGCAACCCTGGCCCAGCAGAGTGGGATGTGAGGTGATGGACCGTATGGCCTGGCTCATCCCAGGGACTGTGAAACAAAGGACGCTGCAGACTTTTCTCTAGCATGGGCCCAGGGCCTGCCCTGCCCACATCCAGAGGCTTTGTCAGCCCTGGGCTCTGGCATTGAGTTCTATTCATAATACTATGATGCCTGTGTGCCTGTTGGGGAGGGCCAGGTCCCTCTGGCTGCTGATGCCAGCACATTGTGTGTCCTACCCTTCCTGGTTGACTGTCTTCAGTGGTCAGGGTGGACCTGACCCTCGGTGAGATGCCAGGGCACCATGGGCTGTGGGGGCTGCAGTACTCAGAGGCTGCCTGTCCTCAAGGACACCTGCCTTGCTGACCCCAGGGAAATGAACAGACTAGGTGCCTGCCCAGAGCTTATCATAGTCCCCCAGACTAGAGCATGGTTGCTGGCCATAGGAGGACCACCAACCTGCCACCCCAGCCTGGGCAGAGAAGAGGTCACTTGGCGTCTGAAGACTGGGTGCTCTCTTGCAGAGATCTTGCTCAAGCCCTGAGCCCTGGGAACTGTAGGCATAGACCCTGCTTCTGGCTGCAGCCACTCTCACAGAAGCAGGGAGCCAGCCTGGACGTGGGCCTGAGAACCATGGACTCCCGGTCCCTGGTCAGCACCCTTGAGGCTGTGCACATTTGTAGGCACAGCCAGGCAGCACTGGGAAGCCACAGCATTATCCAGGTACAGATCTGAGGCTGCTAGCACCTTGGCAAGAGCAAGCCAGATCCTCCTGCTTGGAAGCAGATGTCCCTTAGCCCTGAGTCGGGACATGTGCTTTAAATGTACAGCCCAGCACCAGCTGTTAAATGGCCGAATCTGGTATGTTTTTCTTTCCTAAAAAGAACAGCAAATGGTGTCTGGTGCGTCAGCCTGTGGGCTCATATTCTTTATGATGCTGGTGATTGAATCAAGGGTCTTATAAATGTAGGCAGGCCTGCTGTACCATTTAGGTGCATCCCCAGCCATGTTTTCAGTTTTATTCAGTCTTGCTAAGTGGCCTAGCCTGGCCTTGAACTTGTGATCTTCCTGCCTCAGCCTCCTGGATAACAAGGATTATAGGTATGTGCCACCATATCCAGCCTCTGTGCACTCTGAAGATGCTTCATCTGAGGGAGGAGCAGCTGCCTAAGAGTCCATTCCTGGGCCGTCCCTGCAGGGCTTTTGGGGCTGGAGCTCATTTCCAAGTGAGGGAGACCTCAATTGCAAACCAGGGAGCTGACAAAAAACCTGATTCAAGTTTCTGTTAGCGGGACTTGGCAACTGGTAGTATTTTTATTTCAGATGAATTAATAAAAGTTCTCTATGCACATCATAAACAGGTCCTGTGTGCCTTTTCCTTTGGTGTTTTCCATTGCCCGCACTGTGAGCCCTGGGCCTTGTCCAGGTGCAGCAGGAGGACACAGAATGTAAAGCTCCCTTCAGCCCACTTAGGCCAAGAGCACAGCCCCCAGCCCATGGCAGGAGCCCCTCAGGGGTCTTGACCCACATCCCCGGCAGGGCTGGGAGGCAGTGGCAGGGGTATGGCTGCCTCGGTGAGGTCCTGCAGCAGGCCCTGCAGCCGCTGCATACTAGGGTGCACATTCTCCTCCAGCCACTCCTCTACGGTGTCGGGGTAGAAGATGCATTGCAGCGCCACCTCCAACTGCTGCACCAGGGTACCCCACCTGCCCAGGAGGCTGCGGGTGACAGGGCTGTGAACTGTAGTGCTTGCCAGGGACCCTATGACACGTCCTTAGCCCCACAGGTCAGCGCTGCTCCATGCCTCAGTCTACCCAGTGGGACCAGTAGGTGAATGAACTGGGCACACTTGAGCATCTGACCAGAATGCCTTCTACACTTGGCAAACAGTTGTCTTGGTGGCACAAGGACTGTCACACAGTAGGCAGCATGTTGCTGCCATGGGGCACACACTGTTAGGCTCAGCTTACAACCCTGACCTAGGAGAGGAGGGGAGATAGCAAGGACCCCAGCTACAAGGGCTCTTGGCCAAGGTGTCTCGGGTACAGCAGGGCCAGGTGGATCCCAAGTGGCCTGTCTGAGTATGTGGGCCAGGCTCTCCTCTTGGGCTAGGCACCCTGAGCTTTGTTAGGGAATGCATGGGGTCCATCAGAGGCTGCGACCCAGGGAAGTAGGTCTTAGCTGAATCCGGGGGTGCTCACCTGAGTGCCTCGGGCTGGATGTGCTGGAGCATGACTGGGTGGATGAGCTTCCGCCTGCGATGGTAGGGGCTGAACCAGCCAGTCACATACCTGGGGCAAAATAGACAGGTGAGCGCTAGCCGACAGCAGCTAATGCCATGGTTGCTTTGCAGTGACACCTCTGGGAAAACTTAGTTTTTGTTTTTTTTGAGATAAGAGTTTCACTATGGCTGTTCTTGAACTCAGAATTCATCAGAATAGCTTTGAACTCATGATCCTCCTGCTTTACCTTCCTGAGCATTGGGGTTAGATGTATGGCACCACTGTGCTTGGCTTAGAAATTTTAAACAGTTGTACTTCTCACTCAGCAAGCTGAAAGAGGAGGACTGCAAGTTGGAGGCCAGCCTGGGCTATATAGCAAGATGCTGTTAAACAAGCAAAACCCAAAAGACAAGAAAACTGCTTTTCCCTAGAAAGCCTTTGTAAAAGAGACTGGCGGGAGAGTGGAGGCTGCTTACCTGTTCCTCTCCAGCAGTGCGTCTACAGAGCTGCGCAGGTGGAGGCTGACTTGTGTGACGAGGGTGTGAACATCACTGCCAGGGAAGGAGCTGGCTCCCACACTGCCAGAGAGCCAGGCTGAGACTGGTGGTCCCCAGGGGCGGGCAGGGGCAGGACTGATGGGGCAGGGCTTGGTTACCTTACGGCATCTGTTCCTCCTGGGCTTGAAACCCCAAGGAGGTTTTCCACTCTCGATTTCACATCCTCAGCAAATCCTCCTGAAACCAACCACAGACAGAAGCTGTCGGAGGGAGGGAAGCCGAGTACTTGTTCTGTAGGTCAGGCAGACTGGGGCTTCAGGCCCTCAGGCAGAGGATGATGGGAGCCTGAGCCTGAGCCCCAGCCCAGCCCAGCCCAGCCCTGTATGCTGATCCGAGGGCCACCTCAAGGTGAGCCCTGCTGCTTTTCATTACTGTAAAGGTTGGAAAACAGAAATGCCAATGGTGTTCTGGCAGGGCCACCACCTGGACCAGCCCTGGGCTCCCTCTGCAGATGGCCAGGCTCATGAATCTGTCTCAATAGTGAGACATTTCAGAGCTCCTGGAACAAGCTGGTGCCAGCATGGACAGCACCATGTCAGCACCGAGGCTGTGGCAGGATAGGAGGGTCCTAGTTCTGTAGTGGGCAGGAGCAACCACTGGTTCTCTTGAAAATGGGACACAGAAGCCAATACAGCCCCATCTGCAGCTCCCCACTCGGGGCACACGTAGGAGGGCGTGTGTGCTGTTGCCTCCTAGCCTTTCTGAATATTTTCAATAGTTCAGTTCAACAACTGGGAAAAGCAAAGACTCATCCTCTGCACATCCTTCCCTGGCTCCCTGCACAGCGCTGCCCTTGCTAAGCATGTTTGCAGGCATTGTGTCCTTACTCTGACCTGAGACACTTCCGCCTGCATGGACTCACACCTACAATGGTGTGGTTTGATTGTGTGCTGTGGACTTCACCAAGGCCTTTTCTGTCTGCTCAGCCACGCTGGATCCAGCTGCTCCCTCAGAGTGCTGGCTAAGGGGCCTTTCCAGTAAAGGGGTCGCTGGTTCTACTCAAGCTGCCTTCTGGCTCTCAGGACATTTACACAACACAGGTGGCTGGTGGCCTCTTCTTCCACATCCCAGGAAGCACTCATTTCACTGCAGTTTCCATGAGTCTGACTTCTGACTTTCTGGTTTGGCTCGGGCCTACACTTGATGACCTGGGTACAGGCAGGCTGGGGCCAATGCCAGATGGGCAGACATACCATGGAGGAGCAGCTGCAGACAGGCAGCCAGGGACGGGATGCCCACGGGGAGCAGCTCGCAGAGCACCGAGAAGTGGTCATACCTGTGCCCAGAAAGGGGCATTCAGCTCTGTTGCCCTCGGCCCACCCAGCCAACAGAGGTGCCCTAATCTAGGGCATTCTTGCTCCTGTCCTGGGGCCCCTGCATCCAACCTCAGGCTGAAGGTTGTACATGCCTGTGTTACAAAGAAGAAATTTTGTTACTTACACGTATTAACTATATTGTATGTTTTGCATGTGGCCCACAATTTCCCCACCTTCCACTCTTCCCTCAGCATCTTCCCTCTGCTCCTGGTGGCTGTGCCAACACTTATGCTTTTCCCCAAGGCCCCATGAGGAAGACTCCCCAGGCCAGGCAGGATACCTCCACCTGCTCCAAACTCAGCTGCCTCAGCTGCGAGTTGGGTGGAGATGGATGTGGCTGCAGGTGTGGCAAGCGGGACAGGTAGAAGGGCATGCGTTCAGATGCTGAAGTCAAACTCTGGGGCTCCGGTTCCTGTCCTCTGCACAGAGAAGTGCTGCTCATGGGGGCAGTCTTGGTGTCGTCTAGCCCCAGTGAACCCCAGGCCCACAGAAGAGATGCTTGGGAATCTTCCTGGTGGTAGACAGAGCCACCTGGAAGCTTCTGCAGAACTGGCTGCTGCTTCTGGACATGCGCTGGTGCTGGGAGCTGACCCCACGCTCCAGCCACACATGTGGTCACATCCTGGAGTCCCTGATGGTTTCTGAAGCCCCCCACCATGATCCTGCCTCCACTGCTTCATTGAAAACCTGGCCTCTGTCGAACCTACAGACAGGACAGGACCCAGGTGGAGTGGGCTGAGGACAGACTGGTACGCTGCCGTATTTTCCAAGTGAGGTGAACTGCAGAAGACCAGCATCCACCCTGTGTCCTCCTGTGCTACACGAGACACGGTCTGTCTGGTGGGGAGCATGGGTGGTGTCCTCACAGAACTTAGGGCCTACTCAAGACATCCTGAGGCCAGCTCTGGGAAGGCTGCGGCCAGGCTGGGGAGCTGCTCCCCGACCCCAGGACCAGCCTCCCACAAACCCACCTCTGCCAGCCGGTCAAGATGATGCCCTGCAGTGCATCCACTGGCCCACTGTCTGCCACCTGTAGCCACTGTGCATGGTTCCCAAGGTGGTGCTGAACTGGGGGTATGACCTGGCTGGCTCCCGTGGCCCCCTTGAAGGCACTGGCTGCCCACAGACGCAGAAAGCCGCACTCCCGGTACTTTTCCATCAGGAGGACTGTGTGGAAAGCAGGCAGGTGAGTGGCTCTGTGCAGACAGCCTACATGAGGGACCACATCATGCACTGTCCTGGCCCACGGAGGAGTGGCCACAGCCCTGGGCTGACATGTAGTAGAGGACAGTCCAGCTTTTCACAAGCGGCCCTTGGTTTGCTGGCTCGTTGGGAAAATGTCTTGGAGAACAGGGAAGAGCACAAGCTTCCCACTGGAGAGTCCCATCCCCACCCTGTGTGGGGCCTGCAGTGCAGAAGGGCAAAGTAGGACAGCAGCTGTGACGCTGTTACCACACCCTGGTCAGCCGAGCTGCCCAACTGGCTGCACCTACAGGCCAGGCAGCCAAGGTCACAGGGGCACAGGGCAGGGGGCAGCCCATCTAGGCACATAGGCAGTGACTGAGGCAGCCTGGTACTGACCCTTGGAGTTGACATCTAGGTCGGCACTGTAGTCCCAGAGCACGGGCTCCACCAGCTGCGGCACCCCAGATGCTGAGGACAGGGCAACAATGTGAATGGGGGTCCTCGCCAGGCCACACCCTGAGCCCCTGAGGCACAGATGCACTCTTCTGGCATGAAATGGAACAGCCCATCTCATCAGGCCCCAGGAGCTTCTTGGAGCCAGTGGGCTCCTGTGCTCCTCAGAGGCCCCTGGACAACCCCCTAGTTTAGGGCCAGCCACAAAGAACACTGGTGAAGCCAGGTGCACACCTGTCATCCCAGCACTCAGAAGGCTGAGGCAAGAGGATCACTGTGAGTTCAAGGCCAGCTTGAGCTATACAGTGAGCCTGAACTGCACAGCAAGATCCTGTTTCACGATTTAAAAAAAAAAAAAAAAAGCACGAGCAAAGCTGGAGCACTGATGCTGCCATGGTGGCTTCCTGCCCATGAGCCCACATTTTGCAAGATGGACAGTCACTTGGGGAGTGACACAGATCTGGCTTTCTCATGCACACATGAAAAGCAAGTCTAGTGGGAAGCTCAGTCCCACAACCCTGAGATCCGGGTCTCAGGCACAGCAGAAGTCCCCATCTGAGCCCTGCATGGCCCACCTGCGAGCTGATCTTGGGGAATGTCCCGCAGCATATCATCCCACACCAGGGGTGTTGTGCTGGGGTGCTGGCTCAGCACATGGCTGGCCACTGCCCAGATGTGGGACAGACACAGCTTGGCCTGGCTGTTCTGCTCCTGCTGCAGCCACTGTTTAGAGGTCTCCCCTTCACCCAGGTAGTAGACCTGTAGGAAGAGGTGGGTGGTTCAGCTGGCATAGTCCCCACACTGTGTCCTGAGTCTGAGGTAGCGGAATGCAGAGAGGAGGCTGGGTGGGGGCTCAGGCCTGTGACTCTCAGCTCCAAGGAGAGGACAGACTCACATCCCACCCCGAGCAGGCTTTCTGACACATGCTTCAATATCGATGGACCCTGTCCTGCACACATTTCTGAGCGAGGAAGTCCAAAACAGAAGACCAGATATTGTGTGACCCCACTAAGTGAAATATCCAGACCAGGCAGGGCCAGACAGAGGGCAGGTGGAAGGCTGCAGGGGCTGGGACAGGGTCTTTCTGGGGTGAAGGAGGGCCCTGCAGGGGATAATGATGACAGTCATACAGCTCCCCAAATGAGCAGAGAGCTGCTGAAGGATACACTTTAAGAGCACGCACATGTGCATGCGCACACACACATACAAATCTCTTTTCCTAAAGGGAACCTTGGGCTGACTGTTACCCGTGCAGGTCTAGCTCAGGTTCCAGTGGGCTACAGACCTGCGGAAGTCTGGCTTGGTGTCCCTAGGTCTTGCCTGTGCATCTGGAGCCAAGCAGTGAGGCAGAAAGGTGGGAGGCTGAGGACACTGCCTGATTCCCCAAGGACCATCTCTCTAAAGTGAGGGCTTTAGGATCTAAAAGTAGCATGTACACAGTGCCCCTTCTTTGACTGGAACAAAATATTGAGGCCTCGTGTGCCTGTGACAGGCTGGCTCTGTGCCTGTAGGGACAGCAAGGCTTTTTCTGGCTCTGCTGGCCCCTGCCTCTGTACCAGGCCATGACCCTTTCCTGGAGCTGGATGGGTTGGGGCCAGCCCTTTGGCAAGGTTCTTTATTCTTTGGCATTTGGAGGGTTTTCCTACAAGAAACTTTGGCATGGGAGGTGACCTTGAAGAGGAGGGGCTGCAAAGTGGGATGAAGGTACCTACCTCATCACACCCGATGTGGAGCCAGCAGGTGCCTTTGTGCAGCCCTAGGACCTGGTCAATCATGGCGCTCACCAGGGCCAGGGACTCTGCCTTGTGAGGGTTGAGGGTGTTGGGGAAGAGTGCCACTTCCCGGAGGTGCGCGAATGCTGAATGCTTCAGCACAAACTGCAGGGAGGCGTGAGAGGCTGGTGAGCTGAGGGGGTGCCTGAGCCCACTGCTCCATGAGGCTTGCCAAAGGCTCCCAGCTCCTGCTCCCCGCATGACAGTTTCTGTTTGGACTGCCAAGTTGGTTCTAGAAGTCTGCTGTGAGCAGGCAGGGAGGCTGCCCAGCAGGCAGCAACTTCCCAACCTGCTTCCTGTTAGTTTCTCAAAGGCCTTCTTTCCCTCCTCATTCTAATTGGAGGAGTGACAAACTGGAAAGACAGGAGGCTCTATTCTCTTTCAGATTTGGTGGTGAACACTCCTTCTGGCTACTTCATCATGAAAAGGTTGGCAAACCCATCCCAAAAGAAGTACATAAAAGGAAGACAGCCACTTCAGGGCTCTGGAAGTCAGCTAAAGGTGGACATCAAATTGAAAATGGTTACCTGTGAGTGGCCACAGAAATTCTTGGTAAGGGCTGCTCCCTGATGCCCTGCCCCAGGGTCCCCGAGCTGTGAAAGCCAGCAACTTTCCTGCCAGAGGGGCTGGACTTAAATGCTATCCAGAGAAGGCAGGCTTTGGTGGGCACTGGTGAGTGCAGCCAGAAGGCTGAAACTGGGGGCTATGGGCCTGGGAGGGGGTTCGATGATGCCACAGGGTGAGGAGTATCGTGTCAGGGGACCTAAACCTCTCACTGATTTGCAATACAGAGGACACTGGTGCTAGGAGCCAGAGTACCAGAACATAGAGGAATGTAGCAGGGAGAACCTACTGGAAATATGGGTGGGCTGATTTTTGGGAGAATTCCAAAAGACAGGCTGAGAGCCTGAGGGCAGGCCTGGCAAGCCTGGGGCTTGGAGTAAAAGCACCCTTCTTCTGGATGTGAAGACTCGAGTGTAAGTGAAAGGCTTCTGGTAAACTTGAGGGAGTTCAGTGTTAGGCAGAGGAATTTGTGCACCCTAACAGCCAATAAATCAACACTGAATTTGTTTCCCAGTTCTTTTTTTTTTTTTTTTAACTTGATACATGATTATGCTGTGTATCCTGGGCTGGCCTTGAACTAACAACATGTTAGGCTTTATATCTAGGTGTCCCCAAGGGCCTTATGCAGGCCTAGGCAGGCTTTGGGAAGGTGACTGGATCATGGATGGCTGTTAGATGGTAGTCCTGGTTGGAGAGGCAGGGTACTGGGGTGTGGCCTAGGAGGGGTGGGTTCCCTTTTCAGAGCCTCCCTTCTTCTCTGCTTCCTGGCTGCTGTGATCTGAACTGCTTTCCTTTGCTCTCTCTCCTGGGCCATTCCTGCCCTGGACCAGCTGACCATGGACTGCAAGCATGAGCCAAACTAAGCCTCTCTTCCTTTAAATGGCAGCATCAGGCCTTGTGTATTACTGAGCTGTGTACTGTTGGGGATTGTGGACAGTGAGAAAGTGACCAAGACATGACCTCCCTGCCTTGGCCTACCGAGTCATGAAAAATATTCTTGGGCTTTTTTCAAACAGAAAACGGAAGCCTTCTTTCCCTTCCACACAGGCTGCTGGACCTGCTCTAAGTGCTCTCTGGCTGCTTGTGGGGAGTGGGCTTCCAAGAGTGTAGCCTCTCAGTGCAGTGCCAGCTCTCTGCTCAGGAATAAACTGGGCATCTGGACCCACATCCATGCCCCTCACCTCCATGTGTCCAAACGTCTGCACCAAGGGAACGACCTCCAGTTTACTGAGTCTGGCCAGACGCAGGATTTCTGTGACTTCGGCGGGGCTGGGGAGACAAAGACCATAGGAAGCGTGTGCCAGCCAGTCGGCTTAGTCCTCCCACTCTCCCTGGTCCTTGCTCTTCAGGCTCAGCACCTCCTGGACAAGTGAGAGACCCTCATGCTGCTGAGCCCCATGGGCTGCAGGCTGCAGGGAAGGCAGCCGGCTGGGATCTGAGCCTCTAGGTTGTCTGAGTTTTACACAGACCTGGCCTTCACAGCAGCACAAGCTGCAGAACAGGGGTTGGTGGTGGCCCGTGTGTAGGCACCTCTCAGCCACTTTCACATAGCCCTTGACCTGAGCTCGGCCCCCTTAGGCCAGCAGTGCTGCATGGGGGTCAGTCCTGGAAATGGCTCTACATATTACCTTCACAAGCACCATTGTGAGTAGCCATTTATGAATGTCACTAAAAAAACAAAACAAAACAAAACAAAACTATTTCTAGGTTCTGCATGTGTGTGAACCATCTCTTAGCGAGCACTATACATTTATTATTCATAGAAAGTTATTTTCAACTTCAGAGGAAATTTTTTCCCTTTGAAAGACAAAGTTATGGGGCTGGGGATTTAGCTCAGCGGCATAAGCGCCTGCCCTGCAAGCAGGCAGTCGTGAGTTCGATCCCCAGTACTGATAAAAAGGAAAAAGACAAAAAAAAAAAAAAAAAAAAAAAAAGAAAGAAAGAAAGACAAAGTATGTTTATTGCTAAAAAAAAATCACAGAAGTGCATATGGAGCAGAGGTACCACAGTAAGCACCCCACTGTAAGTACCCCACAAGCTCACTCTGCTGCCCTTGCCGATGCTCAGCCTGCTTTGCTGTGGTGAGAGGGTGGACAGGCTGGAGAGCTCGGATGCCCACCAGGGCCAGGCTGTCCTGATGTCCCACCACAAGCAGGGCTGCCTTTCCTCACACTCACTGTCACTGTCACTCAGGTAGAAGCTTCCCCCAACCAGTGGTCCAAACAGCACTGTATATATGGTTCTAGTAGGAGCGCCACTTATTGGCCACTGGTATTTCTTCTTTGGGGATCTATCAGCTCCCCTCCTTAGCCCTTTCTCCTCGGGCCTCTGCAGTTGGACTGGGAGTGCTGCATGAGCCTTCCTGGGCCCCTCTATCACCTTCTCCCCTCGACCTGCACTCACAATTCCAGGTCTGGCTGGCGGCCTGACTCGAGCCCAGTCCAGGGCTAGGTAAGCTCACTGTAGACTTGCACTGAGCAGAGACCAACAAGCTGAACTGCAAACTGTGCCTTCCCAGTGAGGTTGGTAGATGCTATTTTTCTTTTTTTAAATGTTTCCAAACTCTCCAGTGAGTATGCTTGTTTTTATAATGTGTTTTACTTTTATAATTAATTAAATTAATTGATTTGTTGTGATATTGGACTTTTGCACTTAGCTGCATCCAGGGACTTTTATTTTTTGAGGCAGGCTCTCACTAAGTGTCGCAGGCTGGGCTGGAACTTGTGATTCTCCTGCCTTAGTCTCCTTGGAAAACCGGGATAACAGGTGTGCACCACCATGTCTGCTCACAATCAACTTTTATAAGACATTCATTTCAGAAGATGGCAGGACATTCCCATCCCACATTGCTAACCCTTCCATCTACATCTAAAGATTGCACCTTCCCACCCGGAGCCCTGGAACCCCTCAGATTGCTCTGTGACTGCCAGGTGACACCCATACCTGTATGCGTGCACGGCCCTCAACTGACTCAGGTGGCCCTCGTAAGGAAACATGTCTTCATACTCAATGAGGAGGCCATTCGCACCCAGAGCTCGGAAGAGCGGAAAGATCTGGGAGAGACGGAGAGGGAGTCAGGAAAATGTCACCATTTGAACAAAAGCAGCAGGGGGACTTTTCCTCTGCAGCTTGTGAAGCTGGATGGCAGCTGCTATACCTACTTCTCCTGGGAACTCTGAACCTTGAATGTGCACTGTATACTGGTGATGGGGTTGGGGTGCGTGGGGGGCACACTGCCTAAGAGAAGCAGCACACTGGCCTCAAAAAGTGGGAGAGCAGGCAGCAGTGCACTCTTGACACACAGGACCAGGAGCTGGGAAGGAGCAGCAGGTGGCTCTGCATTTCCTGGTTGCCATGTGACGGGGATCAACATTTGTGTGTGTGTGTGTGTGTGTGTGTGGTACTGGGGGAATGAATCCAAAATCCAGCCTGGTTTGATTTAAAAGATGTCATGTGACCCTCCTGCCTTATCCTCCCGAGTTAAGGGATCACAGGCGTATGCTACCTGCTGTACATTTTAAGAACAGGTTCTAGGGGCTGGGGATTTAGCTCAGCGGAATAACTACCTGCCTTGCAAGCAGGTAGTCGCGAGTTCAATCCCCGGTACTGATTAAAACAAAACAAAACAAAGAACAGGTTCTTATGTTCAGGATGGATGGACCACCCCAGGCACCTTCTACAGGCTCTGAGCTACTACTTCTGCAGGGTTTATTTGTCTCTTTCTCTTCTGTAACTCTCTCCCTGGTATCAGAGCATTCTCTCCTTCAACCCTGCTAAAGCACTTAGTTTAATGTGGATTTACCTCCCAAGTTTTGTCTTTACTGTGAGGTTCCGTTCTTCCAGAAGAAAGTTCTGTCACATGTTTCTGGGAGCCTCGTGGTCTTGCAGAGCACCTCCAGAACTCTCACCCATGGGACTCTTTGAAATCACCTCAAACCAGGGCCAGTAAAACCTTCCCTCAGGGTTCTTGCTATGGAGGACATCTATTTGGGGACTATTTCTGAGTCCTTTGATCTTAACATCACTGGAATGTTCCTTTTTCTTTCCCCTATCTCGGGCCAACTTGCTAACCCTAGATGGGGCCATGGCCCCATTGATTTCAATTTTGGAATTCAATTTTGGGTATACCTGATTCCTAGTTTTGTTGATTACAAACTGTGTGGCTTAAAAGACCATAAGTTTTCCTCACAGTTCTGGCTGATCCTTCTGCCTCAGCCTTCTGAGTGCTGAGATTACAGGTGTGTGCCACCATGCCTGGTGAACTCTCTTCTTCTTACTCAGGATCACTGTAATCCAGTACAACCTCAACTCACCTTGCTTATACATACACAGACCTTTCTAAATAAGGACATGTTGGCAGGTACAAGGGTTAAAATTTGCATTTAACTCTTTCTGGTGTGTGTGTGTCACAATTCAACTCACAAAAAAAGAGGTTGTGGTTTGTCTTTTGTTTCTTGTGCCACCCTGGAGGTTCTGTCTCATTCTGTGAGGGGAAGTGGGAAAAATGAAGTTCATTTCACCTGTCCCAACCTTGGACCTTGTGGTTGTTTTACAACTGCCCACTTCCATAGATTACTGCTGGCAACAGTAGACTGTAACCTGAGGCAAATGGTGATTCTCAAGAGGTAAAAGGAAGTTCTTACCTCCGCGAGATATGAGACCTTTGGTGGAGCTCCTTTAAAGTCCAAATGAACTAGTCTCATCTTAAATGCTGTGGAACCTGACATTTCAGTATTTTGTGTGAACTTCTATAACAAGATCTCTGTTCAGGGACTTCTTCCTAGTAGAGAAACCAGAGTTATAAACAAACATGGTGAGCCAGGCATGGTGGCACACACCTGTTATCTTAGCACTGGGGAAGCTAGGGCAGGAGGGTCACCATGAGTTTAAAACAAGCCTGGGATACACAGTGAGACTGTCTCTAAAAACAAATCAGTCAACCAACTAAACAAACGAATGTGTGGTGGCTTCTTCCTCAGTCCTATTCTTAACATGTTCTTTTAGTTCTGATATCAGCTAGGTTCGTTTTATTAGAGGAAACCCCTATTATTAACATGAAAATGGAGAAGTCTATCTCCATATTCAAATACAGAGACTTTTGCTCTTTGTTCACTGGCTCCTAAAATAGAACAGTGCTGGTTCTCTGGTGAAGCTCATAACACAAGCAACGGCAAAAGCAGTGCGTGTGTGTGTGTGTGTGTGTGTGTCTGTGTGTGTGCGCGCGCGTGCGCGCGCACGCGCACCTGAGTTATACATTGGGCCCTATACATGCTAGACAAGTGTTCTTGCACAGAGCTGCATCCCTAAACATTCTCAAACTACCATACATTACACTGGAGAATACAACCAGGAAGGTGTCTATAAACATTTTTTATCAGGCCTCATGATTGATATTTTCGTAGGAAATTTATTCTCAACTTAATTTTGGACAACATAAAAATTAATTCACATTTCTAGGACACAGGTCAGTTTGGCTGTAGGAAGGAAAAACACTGCAACTGCAAGCTTTATTCCATATCAGAGAAAACCGGCTCGGATTAAAAATAAGGCAATGATAACGTGGAAAGGGAACAAGCCTCAGGTGTCGTTTATATTAAAATAAAAGCATCTGGATGATAATGAACCTTCTGGGAAAATAGCAGGGTGCATCTTTTTGTCGCTACTAAAAAGCACTAAGGATTCTTTGGGTGCGGAGAGAACTCTGCATGCCAGCCGCGCCCTGGACCGCGGACTCCACCTGCTCATACAGGCGAAGGCCTTTAAGAGCTAGCCTCCGGGCATTGTACCCGCGGGCACTTTGAGGCCCCTCAAGTCGTACACTGGCCTTAAGGAAGGCAGCCTGACGCTGCCCTGCCCAGACTTCCGACTCACCCGGCCGCCGCCTCCGGTCTGCGACCCAAAGCCGCCGCAGGCGCACCCGGCACGCAGGTGCGCGGCACCGCGGGAGGAGCAGGTCCCGCCCTACCTCGCCCCGCCCCGCCGCTCGGTCGCCGATTGCTCACGCCTGGCTGTGCAGACCACCGAGCGCGTCGCTCCCGAGTTCCCGCACGGATCCTGCCTTGTTCCCAGTCGCGGCGCTTGTTCCGCACTCGGCGGCTCCCGCTCCCCGCCCGACTCTGCAGCAGCTCGGCTGGATGGCGCCTCAGCGGAGGGGCCCACTCAGAACGGCCGAGGGCAGCGGGGCGACCGAGCGGCGACGCCCGAGCAGGTACCTAGGAGCTCGCGGTGTGGCGCGCTAAGCCGCCACAGGGAGCGGGACGGGGCCCTAGGGGGCGGGACCATATGTAGTGGGTGTGGCCTTGCGAGTTGGGCTCTGCGGTGGCCACGGTGCACTTGGCTGCTCAGTCCAGCCCACATTCCTGGGACTAAACCGCGGGAAGCTCCTTACCGCTTTCGTCAGTGCGCCGGCCAGAAAGCAGGCTGCCCTTGCCCTGGAGAAAGTCTTAGAGGCCCTGGACCCCACGCGAGGCCTGTAGGCTGGAGCTCCCTGCCGGTGCACACGCCCTAGTGTTTGTCACCTCCTGAACCCAGGCCGGCCTTGCAGGGGTAGGGGAGGGCCTGCAGCCCTAACTCCGGCGGAGACCATATGTGAGGACAGGTGCCAAGCCTGAGAGTGTGTCCTCAGTCACCTAATCACTTGCTCCATTGACCTTTCCGTTATTACTGATCCCTTGGAAAGCTGCTCAGCAGGCATGCTGGCCCTGTCAGCGCTCCCAGTTCCCACGTTGACTGCCGGGCAGACTGCTGGGCTGAAGGACAATTGGTGCGGGGGGCTGGGTGCAGCTAGTGGTAGAGCCCTGCTTGGCTTGCGAAAGGCCTTGGTTAACTTCCTGCACAGCAGAGGAAACCCTGCAGACTATCGAGGTTTCCTTGTGTAGGCAGCTGGGAAGAAGCCGATGTCAAGGGCACCCAGAGAGTGGGCAGCGAGCAAAATGGAGAGAGGCGGCACAGAGGGAAGAGGGTCTGGTCTTCCTCTGGCGTCGCTGCTGCTCATGAGGTGTGCTGTGTTTGGGCTTGACACAAACCAGTTGCAACCCAGAAGCAGAGCAGCCCACCCCGCCGCTGAGAAGTTCATGTGTGCGCCTTCACTTTCAGAGCACAGAGCCAGCTTCAGAAGCTGTAAGGGATGGCAGGAACGGCTTAGTTTGGGAATTTTAAATCTTATGGTCGATAGTGGTTTCGGAATTACTCATGAAAGGTTTGCTTGCTTTACTTTTTGTTTTCCTGAGGACTACCTTATTTCATTCTCTTCCATACTGAGATCATAAATTAGGTAATTCCAGGAGGTTTTTTTTTTTTTAAAGCTTTTAAAATCATTCTTTTTTTAAAGTTTTATTTTGAAAGTAGTAAAAATACAACAAAACAAGACAGAACAAAGCCAATCGAGACAATGTAGTGAAATGGTACAGAACTTCACAGTACGATACTGGGATAATAGTAATAGCTACTATGGTATATCTCATTATCTTCACAGTAGTTTGGTATAGGGAAATCAAACCAAAACCAGAACATAAAATCAATTGAGAGTATTGAATAGAGCAAAAGAAACATAACAAAACAAGTGAAAACAACCTTTGCCTTCAAACAGAAGACAAAAGGAAATCCCCTATATTAGCTATATTGCATATGGTCTTCCTCCCAAGAGATGCTGAGTCATCTATCCCGAGTTGCTACAGGAAGGGGGAGATTATTTGATTTTCAGCCCACAGGACGGTAGGTTCACGGGAGTGGCTGGTTCTCCTCCTGGGCCACATAATGGGTGCTTACCAAGAGTACGGAAGAATAAGCTGCTTAAGTCCCACCATGGCCTGATCTCGGGAGATTTTTTTTTTTCTTTTGAGACAGGGTCTTGCCACCTAGTTGACTGGCCTAGAACTTATATGTAGCCCAGGTTGGCCTTGATGTGCCATCATGCCCAGCTACAGTAACTTTTGAATGCCTTAGTTTGTTCTTGAGAATGTTTTTACCGTTTTTATCTCAGCTGCTCTTGGATTCTAGATCTCAAATGTGTCATGCTTGCTGCAACTAAGATTTTATTTTTATTTATTTATTTATTTATTTTTTAGAGTCTTGCAGTGGAGTTCATCCTAGCTTTGAATTCACTATGTGGCCCATGTCGACCTCAAACTCACAGCAGTTTTCCTGCCTCAATTTTCTTAGTGCTGGGATTACAGGCATACACTACCACGCCTGACCATAACTGTGATTTTATTTTTATTTACTTTTTAATAGATGAGGTTTTTTTTTTTTTTTTTGTCTTTTTGAGACAGGGTCTCTATGCAGTTCAGGCTGCCCTTGAACTCACTTTGTAGCCCAGGCTGACCGTGAACTCTCAGTGATCCTTCTGCCTCTACCTCCTGAGTGCTAGAATTACAGGTGAGCACCATCATGCCCTGCATTATGATTTTATTCAGCATGAGTAACCTAAAAAGTTTTAATAAATGTTCCACTTTCTCCCCAAAACAGTCTCACTGAAAGAATATTTGAAGTATAAGCCTATCTTTCGTTTTCCTTCAATGATAATATTAAAGTTATTCAATTAATAAATTTTAAAAATTTCCAGTTAACATAAGTTTTCTGAAACACTTAACTTTTGCCAATAATGAATGATTAGCTGGGCATGGTGGAGCACACCTGTAATCCCAACCCTTGGGAGGCTGAGGCAGAAGGATTGCCTTGGGGTTGAGGCCAGCCTGGGTGGCATAGTGAGGCACTGTCTCAAAAAAAAAAAAAAAAAAAAAAAGTGGTCAATATAGGATGCTGTATTTATCCAAATAGAAGACTTCCTGAAATTTGTCCCAAAGGTTTTCTGAAAATCATTAACCAACACCTGCACCATGGAAAGCGCAGCCTTGGGTTTAAGCTACACAAGGCCTCTGCCTGCAGCTGGGTCTCATGTGCATGTACAGCAGGAACAGCTGCATTCTGGTGATGGTGGTTGTGTTTTCCGTTCTTAGCACCAAGAAGGCCCGGGAGTTGAGGGACACACGGAGGGCATGGCTGAAGACCCTGGGCCTTGGGGCCAGCATCACACTTGCCTTGATTCTGATCTGGATCAGCCTGGGGGCCGATGATGGTGTTGCTGAGGTACTGGCACGCAGAGGCGAGGTCCTGGAGGGCAAGTTCATTGAAGTGCCCTGCTCTGAGGACTATGATGGCCACCGAAGATTTGAAGGTATAGTACTGTGGATCCCATGAGGATTCAGGAAGCAGAAAGGCTGAGATGAAATTTGACACTGTCTTTTGCTGCAATGAATGAGTGGGAATCCGGTTGGAAGTGGTATGGGTTTGGCAGTGCTGTTTCCTCCCCCGGTGGGTCAGCCCCACCTGGCATGGGAGTGTAGCCAGGGTACCACCAAGTGTGGTCAGTGGTTTGGAAAATGGTGATGTCCAGTGACAAAGTAAAAAATGAGGGCTGAGAAAGCTGGAGCCTGATTGTAGAGTAAGTCACAGAAGACATGTCGACTTAAATGTGCCTGGTGGCAGGCCCACCCTGTCATGTGTCCTGGGCTCCAACTCTCAGCTCTGCACTCAGTGATGGCAATGGATGAGGCTGGGAGTGTGTGATGGTAGACTGAGCCCACGGACATGATGTCATCTACTGTGACAGTTGTAGAGGCTGAAGCCACTGTTGCTGTTGGGTGGTGTTTGTTGTGATCTTTGCTTTGCTGCACCTCTGCTGTCAGCTTTTTTTTTTTTTTTTAATTGTGGTACTGATAACTGAACCCAGGGCCTTTGTATTGAGCTGCATCCCCAGCCCTTTTTTATTTTTTTATTTTGAAATAAGAGCTCCTTAAATTTCTCAGACTGAGTATGGTCCTCCTGCCTCAGCCTGCCAGAGGGCTAGGATGACTGGTGTGTACTGCCACGCCTTATAGAAAAAGGTATACCTGGCCTTTCGTTTTTGTAACACTTTTTTGGGTTAGGTACCGGGAATCGAACTCACGACTGCATACTTGGAAAGGAGGCGTTTATGCCACAGAGCTAAATCCCCAGCCTGGGCCTTTCGGTTTTGCTTTTTTTTTTTTTTTAATCAGTACCGGGGATTGAACTCATGACCGCCTGCTTTTAAGGCAGGTGCTTATGCCTTATGTGCTAAATCCCCAGCCCTGGGCCTTTCATTTTTGAAGTAAAGCACCTCTGCTGGCAGCATTGTCTAGGTCTATGTAACTAAGACCCTCCTCCCGATCAATCAGTCAGGAAAAAGCTTGGTTTTCTTTCATGAAGGGCAGAGAAAGGAGCTGCAGGCCAGCCAGTACCTGTGACCCCAGGATCTGAGCCCTAGTGCAGTGCCATGTGGCTTGTTTGCAGATATTCTGGGGCAGTGGCTCCACCTTGTGGCTCCACGTTCATTTCTAGGCAAGACTGGGGGAGAGGGGAGGGGGTGAGAACCAAGCAGCAGTCCAGCTAACACAGAGTATCCCGGAGCAGTCACAGGCTCCCATCTCCATCAGAATCAGTGAGTCCCAGGGCCACCTGTTGGGGAGCGGGTCTGTCCTTTGTAGCTGGAACTCAGGTTGGTCACTGGTTAGGCTCACTGCCAATGCTGTACTGCACGTAGGCTCTTTCCTGTCAAAGCCCTGACCTTATCCACCATGCCCCATCCACTGAGCTGTCCAGCCTACCCTGGCCCTGTCTCCTTATGAGCTTCTCTGCTTCCTTCCTCTGTCTGCAGGTTCCCAGGGTCTAGGGAGAATAAAGGCACATGGTGCCCAGACTGTTGGCCCTGGGAGGACAGTGGCTGGAGCTCCTCACCTCTCCTTGGGTACCAGGAGGAGCTTCCATGGTGCTCGCAAGTGCCTGGAGCTGCAGCCAGCACTCCTGAAGGGTGCTGTTGATGCTGGACCTGAAGGCTTCTGTGGCTTCCTGGGGGCTGGGCAGTGAGGGAGCCTCAGAGGAGCTGTGCAACTTGTCTAGAGTTTATTTTTTAAATTTTTTTTTCAGATTTTTAAGTTATTTAAGGTACATAAATTGCAAAGACTATTGCCTGCCTGCTCCTAGCCTGGCTCTGTCTACTACTGAGCCTGTGTTGGTGGTGTGAGGTCCGTCTGTTGTCCTTTTTCTAAAGGACTTTTGGTGAAGATACTGAGCTTCTACCAGGATTACAGGCTTGGCAAGCACTGTACCCCTGAGCACAGGTCCAGCCTGCCCCCAGGCTGCGCAGAAAGGGCACAGCCTTGTGTTTCAGATCATGAATGCGGGCATCCAGTGGAAGGAAGTGTGTGCTGGGTGTGCTGAACGAGACTCTGGCTGTGCATTGAGATGCTGTTTCCCTCCCTGGGGCAAAGAAATGAGCTTCAGCCCATAGAGAAGACAGTTGCAAACCTCAGCCACACCCAGCTCTCTGCTAGCTACAGTGGCTGCAGCTTAGCCATTTTGGTCCAGCTCACAGCCTCTGCTTGGGAGGAGAGGAGAGGAGTGTTCCTTGGGACTTGGGAGAATGCATAGGAGGGCCAGGAGAGGACAATGGGCCTCTTGCCTCCTCGAGCTTGGGGAGGCCCTGGGCAGTGAAGGCTGCAGGATTTCTGTGGCTGCTCAGAGGGGAGCAGTGCTGAGGCTTTTTCAACCAGTTGGGAGCTCTGGAGCTTTTTTTCCCACAGACACAAAGCTCAAGTGGAGGCTAGCTCCATACCTGGCCCCAAAGAACTGTGTTCAGCTCACAGCACCATAACCCCAGGCCTCCACCCCGATGCCAGTTATCTGGGACTGCTGGGGGCTCTGGCAGTGGGACTGTCTGAGTCTGCAGCCCTTTGGGCAGCTCCATCAAGCTTGCACTGTGGGAACTGAGGCTGGCCGAGCACAGCTCTTATATAGGCTATGAGGCTGGGAAGCAGGGCTGTGCACGCATGTGTGTGTTTAGATTTTCCGGGTGCAGGGCAGCTACACCTGCCAACTGTCCTGTGGGAGAGCCCTGCAGCCCTGCTGTCCTGGCACAGCAGCTTTGGAAGTAAGCCTTGCATTTCACTTGTCATCCCTGTAGGCTGCACGCCCAGAAAGTGTGGCCGCGGTGTCACTGATGTTGTCATCTCCAGGGAGGAAGCAGAACACATTCGCAGGTATAGAGGCTCAGTATTTTGCCCTGGGCACCGTGGGTCAGGTTTAAAGTGATGAGGGAAGAGTGAGGCTCCCTCCTGTGCTTTCCAGGGCAGGGCAGGTGTCCATGAGGTGGGCCAGGGCCCTTGAGAAGCCCCTGCTGACAGAACGTTCTGGAGGCTCTACCTCCTCTCTGCCCAGAGGACCCAGCTTGCTCTGCAGGAGCCAGGTGCCGAGCTGTGGTGCGTACCTGTGCTCCCCAGCCTCAGCCTGCAGCCCCAGGGATGTTTCAGTCTGCTCTGAAGCGAGTGCCTTTTGTCTTTCTGCCACCCTTACCAGGGAGCACAAATGCTCACTTGGAAAGCAGTGAGTGCTGCATTTTTCCCTGTTGAGATATTATTTATTTTTTTACTTCTGTTTTTTTTTTTTTTTTTTTTTTTGTCTTTTTCCTTTTTATCGGTACCGGGGATCAAACTCACAACTGCCTGCTTGCAAGGCAGGTGCTTATGCCACTGAGCTAAATCCCCAGCCCCTACTTCTGGTTTTTTTTGAGACAGGGTCTCGCTGTGCAGTCCAGGCTGGCCTTGAACTCCCTGTGTAGCCCAATGTGGCCTTGAACTCATGATCAGCCTTCCAAGTGCTGGGATTACAGGCATGTACCACCATGTCCAGCTATCCTGTTGCGATTTTAAAACCATAATCTTAAAGTTTTGATTTTCCCACCGTCTGGTTAGACTTGCTGGTTAGACTTGCTGGTTGAGTATGTGGAATTGGTTTGGGCCACAAGGGGTTTCAGTGGGCATGAGCCCTCTCTGGCTGTCCTGTCTGGCAATACTGTTCTGCAGGAAGTGGGGTGCAGCCTTAGCATTTGTCAGAGCTGCTAGTTCTTGAGCAGAGAGGTCCTTGCTGGTCTGACTCTGGGCTATCCCCCTCCTGATCCAGAAAGAACAAAGCTCCTGCCCACCTGGGAGCAGTCTGGGGCCTCTGGCTGCTGGCCGAGTTTGTGCTTGTGGTTGAAGTTCAGAGTCTGCTGCTTGTAAGCTGGCTTACATGTCAGAGGCGGGAAAGAGAAACGTGCACACTGGCCTGGCTTAGAAAGCTGAGCTTTACAAAGCAGAACCGACATTGCTTATGCTGATGCCTATTCTGCCTGGACCCCTTCTAGATGACGCTGTTTGCTGTGTTCTGATCTGGGTTGTTTCCCCCACAGAGTGGCGGAGAAGGGGCTCTCCCTGGGCGGATCTGATGGAGGGGTGAGTTGAACCTGGCTTCTGCCTTCCCATCTTTGCCCCCTGTCTCACAGGGCCTTGCTGCCTCACCCATGCACAGCCTTCCTGAGCGCAGGTCATGCAGTCTGTTAGGTGCTGCAGAGAGGAGGGGGTGGGTGGGGCGATGTCAGAGATGGAGCTGAGTGAGGTGTCAGCAGCCTAGTGAGGCACCAAGGCCAAGTCCTGGCCACAGGAGAGTCCAAGGTGCTGAGGGCAGGGCCGGGCCTGCACCGAGTAGAAGATGCTCCGATACTCCATCATAGGCACCACAGGCCTGTCACACAGTGCACACGGCTGCAGGCCACTAGGAGTGTATCCACCTGGCTTCCATGACTGCAACCTGATTTGGATGACCAGATCTGGCCAGTGCTGAGGCTTTCCCCCTCCCAGGGTATAGGGAGAATTTGAGGGTGGACTGTAGTTCCTTAAAAAGTCATGACCGGTCCACAGGAGGCTTCATAGAGAACATAGAGAATAGACAGGAGCTTGGCCTTGGGCCCGGTGTATGCAGAGCCACCCTCTGGCCTCCTACAGGTGGTGGATGCCAGATGACCAGGCATGCAGGCAGGAATCTGCTCAGGGCTGGCCCAAGCACATCCCAGAATAGTGATGTGGGGGAGAGCCTGGCCTGTGTACCCCTACCTTGAGCTAGAAAATGGGAGGTAGCCACGGAGAAGGGTGTGAGGTTTAGAGTGAGGTGGTGGACACTTTTAGGATCTGATCGTGGTTTGGGGTGTGCCTGTGTCAGACCTGCTACACTGCACATGGTGTGCGAGGCCTATCAGTCAGCCCGGCAGAGCTGAGGGAGGCAGAAGAGAGCAAGGGGAGGAGCAGAGAGGAAAGAAAGGGCGGAAAAGGAAGGAGGAGGAGGGGCCAATGGCCATTGCAAGAGCACATGGAGATTTGGGTCCTGCCTGTGCGCTGTCTCCAGAGCATTGGGCCCATCTGGCATCTGTGAGCAGGTGGGTTTGGACAGAACTGTGACCTCGGTGACTTGAGTTTAACTTTGGGGGTTTCGAAAGCAAAGGTCACCCCATCTTAGCCCCAGCCCATCTTTTCTAGGCGTCCATCCTGGACTTGCACTCAGGGGCCCTGTCCGTTGGGAAGCACTTTGTGAACCTGTACAGGTGAGGGGCAGGCCTGGGAGCAGCTTCGTGTATGCCTGGTATGTTCTAGACTTCGGATGCCCAGAGGACTGAGAGAGGATGGTGGGTTCTGGTCAGGGCAGTGGTCTAGAAGGGGCTAGGGAGCCTGTCTCAGGGGTCCTTTCCTTGGTTTTTAGGAAGACTCTGGTGTCATGTTCTGGGTTGCTCGGCTCTAGGATGGGACTGGAGGAAGCTGGAGACCGTTGGGTGCTTGTGAAGGCTGAAAAGCCCTGAGAGATCACCCAACCATTTATTTGTCTATAAGTACAAGGCCTTCCCATTGAGCTATATCCCAGCCCATTTTTTTATTTTATTTTATTCTATCTTTTACTTTTTAGACAGCATCTCACTGAGTCCTTATGTTGCCCAGGCTAGGTTTGAATTTTCAGCCCTCCTGCTTCAGTCTCCGAGTGCTGGGATTGTAGACATGCCTGGCTCCCCACCCTCATGTGGCACAGGGATTATGGGAGAAGCCAAGCAGCTGTAGGATTAGGGGATGGGTTCATTTTTAGGGCCCTGTTCTGTTGAGCAAAGACTAATTTTAAACAAAACAAGAGATTAGTAAAATGTTTCACTTGTTCATGCGTCTTGTCTTTGCACAGGTACTTTGGGGATAAAATACACACTGTCTTCTCTGAAGAGGACTTCCAATTGTACCGGTGAGCAGCTGGAGGCGGGGTCGGGGTCACTGTAGTTGTCTGGGTAGAGACCACAGTGGGGTGGAAGCTAGCCTGGCTCCAGGGGGCCTCAGCTCTGTGGCAGTGCCAAGGCAGTTCTGACACCTGCCTTGGTGAGCCCATCCCCCACCTCATACCTGTGTGCCAGGTGCAGCCTTTACTTAGAGGTGGGACACCTGCTGGGGACTGTTTAAAATTGAACTTTTCATTTAGAGATATATACCCGTTACCCCCAAAAGTACAATCCAGTGAGTCTATGTCTTAAGACAAAATGAAAAAGGCTAGGGATGTAGCTTAGTGGTAGTGGGCTTGCTGAGTATGCATGGGGCTGTGGGTTCGATCCCAGTACTGGAAAAAAAAAATCTAAATTTGGCATAATGGTGTACACCTATAATCCCAGCCCTTGGGAAGCTGAGGCAGGAGGATTGCTGTGAGTTCAAGACAAGCCTGAATCACATAGTAAGACACTTTTGAAAAAGAAAAAGAAATGATCTACTCTTTGGAGCAAAACCAAGTTATTAGCTACAATTATTAGATTGTCTGATGCATTATGTGAAAGTGTGTTTGATGACAAAGTTGAAGACTACCACAAACTTGTTTCTTCAACTTGCTGAACTCCAAAAAAGTAAAATGCTGTTTGTAAAGCTTTAGATTTTTTTTTTCAGTATTGGGGATCAAACTCACGACCTTGCGCTTGCCAGTTAGGTGCTTATGCTACTGAGCTAAATCCCTGGCCCTAGAATTTGGAGGTGAACAAAAATCAGGAAAAATAGGGGCTGGGGATTTAGCTCAGTGGCATAAGCACCTGCAAGTGTGTGGTTGTGAGTTCGATCCCTGGTACCAATAAAAAAAAAGAAAAAGACAAAAAAAAATCAGGAAAAATAACATGCCAGGTGTCATGGCACATGTCTGTAACACCAGCACTTGGGAGGCTGAGGCAGGAGGATTGCTGTGAGTTTGAGGCCAGCCTAGACTACACAGCAAGACCTTGTCTCAAGGGAAAAAAACAAAAAGCAAAAACAAAAATCAAAACTCAACAAAATACATGATGTTTACATAAATAATGTCTCTGCTTCTGTCGGTCAAAACGTGCACACATGTTGCACCCTACTGAAAGGTGGAACATTTTGGATATAGCTGTGGGTTCAGCAAAATCTCCCTGTGCTAGGAGTTCAGGAGTAGAAGCAGTTACCAAGAGGACCAAGAGGGCTGGGCCCTGGTCTGAGTGAACTTTGTCTCATGCAGTGCCAGTTTGGCCCATGACGCCCGTGTTGAGGGGGCAAGGGTGGTTTGGAAATATGCAGGTCTTCTGTGAGCAGCTGGGCTTATACTAGACCACTTGTCAGTGATTTAGGACTTGGCTTGCTATGTATCTGCATGTGTACGTGTAGGTATGTGTGCAGATAGGTGTACAGGTAGCACGTGTGTGATGGGCACAGAAACTGGCAGTTGTATGTGCATTTTTGCATGCACAGAACATTACTTTGTTTAACAGTGCGGATCACACATACCCATGTAAACGTGCATGCCTCTGATATGCATGGAGGGTTGCACGCTGTGTGTGAGTACATGTGTAGGAAGTTATATACATACGTAAGAGGAGCTTGGTGTATGTGTGTGCACAGGTAGGGAGAGTTGTAGACACTGGAGTGATCTGGATTAGTCTGTCCAGCCCTGCTGCCCTGCACACCCGGGACTGGCTCCTTGGATCTCCCCAAGGAGCTCTGCTGAACTATTTAGAGCGTGGATGCTGGACAGCTGCCACTACAGGTCTGCTGTGCAAATCTGTGCTGTACTGCAGAGACATGTGTCTGGGCCTGCAGAGAGAGGCAGCCAGCGCCCATGGGGTCATGTTCCTCCTGCTGGCAGGCTCGCAGGCCCAGTCTGGTAGAGCTCAGGTGACCTCCTCAGGCCCCGGGCTGTCCTGAAAGAGTCACCGTGGGTGCCATGGTAATCCCACCTGGTCCTCGGTTCCCGCTGTCATGTGTTTGGGGATGTGCATGTCTGACGGCCACTGTTGTGCCCCGTCTGCTGTGTGTGGGCCCTGAAGACCAGCGGAGTACCCCCCGACCCGTGCCCTGAGACCAGCTGTGTCACAAGTGACGCTCTGCACCCTCCACAGGGATGTGCGACGGAAGGTCCAGCTCGCAATCGCAGAGGCGTTTGGCATCAGCTCGTCCTTGCTGTACCTGACCAAGCCCACATTCTTCTCGCGCATAAACAGCACGGAGGCACAGACGGCCCATGACGAGTACTGGCATGCACACGTGGACAAGGTGAGCACTCCCCTGGGGCTTGACCTTCTTGGGTGGGTAGGCCTGGCTGCCAGCTCTGCCTGGTATTTGTGCTGGACATTTTAGAATCTTCCTTTCAGGTTTTAGGTGCACCCTGAAATGAGGACAGGAAATTCGTTTCTCGGTGGATAATTCCAGGCAGCCAGGTGTCCTTCACAGATGGCCTCAGCCTTGCTGTCGTTTCCCATCCTTTGGGTTAGCAAACTAATGCATGAGGTCAGACTGCGAGAGCAGAGCGGGTGATTCCCGACTTCCTGGCCTGGGACTCTGCCTTCCCGCCGAGGGCTGTGTGTGCCACTTACTTTGTCTTTCCTTCCCTCTTTGCTCGTTCCCTCCTCCCCCACCTCGACAGTTCTCCCTGTGTAGTCCAGGCTGACCTTGAACTTGCGATCCTCCTGCTCTTGCCTCTCGAGTGCTGAGACTGCAGAATCGTGGTGTGAAGCCCCCACCTTCCTGTCTTTCCTTTGCCTCCTGCCTGAGGCCAGCTCTATTCCTAAGTCCCTCTAGGCCCTGGTCACAAATCTCGACCCTCTGTGAAGCTCTTGCCCGCTAAGCTGTGAGCTGCAGGGGCCCCTACCTCGAATCTAGCAGACCCACAGGGGCCTGGTGGCCAGCAGCACTGTGAGGGAGGGGCGTCCTCCTGCCCTGAGCTGTGGCCTGCCTCTAACGCTCCTTCCTCAGTGTGCTGGCAGGGCATCACATGGTTTGGCGGGGGTGGTCCTTTGCCATATCTGGGGTGGATAGGCATTGTGAGGGTTGGAAGGGTGTCAGGATCCTGAATCCTGCTTCCACAAGCCACTTGCTACACTACTTGTTCCACCTGGAATCCTGTGTGATGTGGTTTGTGTTCCAGTTTTCAGATCCAAGGGCATTGCTGAGGCCGCAGGCGGTGCACAGGGCTGACTGCAACTGTATGAGGGGGCCCTCAGGTTCTGGGGTCAGGCCTGGTATCCAGACAGCATCCAGGATCCAGCCATGGGAGGCTCGCTAATCCTTCCTCTTGTGGGTCACTCAACAGGCTGCTGCCTCCTCCTGGTCACTCAGTCTTCTCTCGTCCTATTAAGGAAAGACCACTGTCATGGTGACAGGCTGTGGTGGGGGGCATGGCCTGGTTTCTACAGCTTGTCCTGTGGTGCCTGCTCAAGCCAATGATGTCACAGCTGGGATCCACATCCCAGCTGGCCTGGACGCACTGGAGTCTGAGCCTCAGGAACCCAGGCCTGGGGGTGGAGGTGAGGTGGTGCAGGATTATGGGACCAACCCCAGGCGTTTTGCTCCTGAGGCCTGATTCTTCATCTCTGCCTCAGATTTGCTGAGTAAATGATTCACCAAGCTGAGCATGCAGATTTCACATGCTCTGATGCTCATGTCTGGTGTTGGGTGAAAGGGGCTTGTCTCGCTGGTTTTATTTTATGAATGAGACCGTATGAGTGTTCTTATGTGGCATCCCCAGAAGCACCTTTTGAGGCCCAGACTAAGCTCCTCCAGCCCGGTCTGAGCTCAGTTTTAGCCAAACCTTGGATTTACCACCGAGGACGACTCCTTTTCAGCCTCTTGTCATCTGTGACACTTCCTATGGATCCACAGGGAGGCACAGAAGTCATTGCCCCCAGACCTTCCTACTGCCCCTGTTCCACTGCATGCCTCAGAACAGCGTGGACCTTTCTCTCTCTGTTTGTTTTTGGAGACAGGGTATTTCTGTATATCTCAGGCTGGCCTCAGACTCAATCCTTCTGCATCAGCCTCCTGAGGGTCAGGGTCACAGTTGTATAGCATGCCACCCAGCTCCTGTTTGATGCCCCCCCCCCCTCGCGTTTCTGTCAAACTGCTGAGAACTTCTGTCCTTTCAAGGACAGAAGCATGGCTACTGCACCTGCTTCAGTCTCTGTCCAGGACATCCAGGAGGCCCTGTGGCCTGGGGGGCCTTTGCTGTCTCCCTGCTGTAAGCACTGAAGACCACTAGAATGGTCAGTGTCAACCCCAGAATCCAAGGCCAGCTGGGGCTGCACCTTCTCACCTAGAAACCTGGCTCCTCACTAAGGATTCTGGTTAACACCTGCCGCCCTCCCGGGTGGGTTTAGACACCTGCAGCTTCTGTCAGAGCCCCTTGGGGCTGCCCCAGTCATACCTGAGGACACAGGCTTTCCAACTGGTTCAGAAGAGGTGTGGAACAGACAGGGGGCAGTGGCAGGAACAACGAATCCTGGTGAAGGGGGATCTTACTTCTAGATTTCTAGGGGTTCCACTTTATTTTATTGAAAATTCTAGTTTTCTAGCTGATCAGGGTGGTGCTTGCCTGTCGTCCCAGCAAGTTGAACCCAGCTTGGGCAGCTTAGTGTGATCCTGTCTCAAAATTTCAAATAGAAAGGACAGTAAATGTAGCTTGGTGTGAAGTACTAGAGAACACTCTAGTTTTCAACCAAAATTTATGCATTTCTATAAATAGTAATGCACTGCTAATATATTGTTACAACATAGTGAACACTGGAAACATTATCTGCAGTGAATGAAACCAGCCACAAAAACGCCAGGCATGGTGTGAAATGGATTCTGGTTTGCAGAACTGCGGACGATTGGGGAGTAGCTGCTGACATGAGAGGCTTCCTTCCAGGTGATGAAAACATTCTAGCATTAGACAGTTGTGATGACCACTTATTGAACTAAACATCCTACTTACTTGTTTATTTGTTGTCCTTTTGAGACAGGGTCGCATACAGTTGAGGCTGTCTTGAACTCACTTTAGAGTCCAGGCTGGCTTTGAACTCAAAAGCAGTCCTCCTGCCTCCGCCTCCCAAGTGCTCGAGTTAAACATTATTAAATGGTAGATTTTATCATATGTAGATTATATATTCATTTTTAAAAATATGTTTTAAGTGAAGGAGAGATTGAGGTGTTCCCATTAAAACAGAGAATTCCTCACTAGCAAGCCTACCCTGTAAGGAATCCTAGAGAGGGTCTTTAGGCCAAGAACAGAGGGCACCACCCCAGGACTGTGGTCTGTGTAAGAGGTACACACTTGAGCAGAGGAACCACACAGTGAGTGTGAAATGTTTTTGACCTTAAGTCATTTTTTTTTCTTTTAGCTGAGGTCAAGGACAATAGCATAAAGCAATAATTATGTCTGCGTTGATAGACACAGTGTGTGTTGATGGGCCTTACGTGACATTAACAGCAAGAGAAGGAAAGGTACAAAGGCTATACAAATAGCATTAAAATTAAGTTGACATCAAATTGAACCACGTTGTTATAAATTAACTTGTTATCTCCAAGAAAATTAAGAGAACAAAGTAAGTGACAGGGAAATTAAAATAGTGTACTAGAAAATGTTTAACACAAAATCAGATGATAGCAAGGGAATAGAGGAAGAAAAGTATATTTGTAATCAGCACTATGGGAGGCTGAGGCAGGAGGATTGAAAGTTGGAACCCACCGTGAGCAATTTTGTAACTTAGGAACATCGTACCTCAAAATACACAAGAAGATAAAAAGGGTTGGGGCTGTAGCTCTGTGCAAAGTAATACTGCAAAAACAAAATGAAGCAAAATAAACCAGACAATAAATAGCAAAATGTGAGCTGTGAGGTACAATTCTGTGTTTATCAGTGAGTGCTGTGTGTATGTGGATTTCATGCTTCAATTACAAGGTAGAACTTGACAGTTGTCTGGTGATTGCAAGGTCTGGGTCGCCTTGTGAGTGGCGTCTGCCTGTCCTTTTGCTGGAGAGCTGAGCATACCAGGTTCATTGTCCATCGAGCCATTGAATTGGACTCTGGACATCTTGAGCGTGGTAAGGCACAGGTCCTGCCCAGCCCCTTTGGGATGCCAGCTGGATTTCCCACCCACCTGCGTTCTGTGCTGAGGCTCCAGCCTCCGCCCCGCCTTGCAATCCAGTGTAGGCACTAAGTCACTTCAGCTTGGAGCCTTTGCAGCTGCATCGGTCTGGCTGGCCACTCACCCCTCATGAGGAGTCTGTGCTGCTAAGCCAGCTCTCAGCCATGTTAAGGTCTCTTCAGCTGCACTCTGGTTCTTGAGTTTCTTTGCCATGTGAACCAGAAGTAAGGCCAAGTGAACCAGAGTGGTCCGCGCACACAACTGGGGACCCTTTTCCACCTTCTCTTGGGGATCAGCTCCACCCTGCTTGGCCTCAGAGGCTCCTCCTCGCCTTCCTGCCAGAGCCAGGCCTCTCTTGACTCTCTGTGCAGTGGCAAATTCTGTGAGAGTTGGAATCTTTCCAGGTAAAACACCAGGAGAAGAGGAAGTCCAAAGTGTCCAAGCCCTGCCCTTCTAGGTTCTGGCTGGAGGGTGTTCCCTTGGGGTTTGGGTGCCTGCACCCATGCCACTGCATAGGTGGCCTGGGCCCCTTGCAGGTCTTCTGCTTCTAGGTCCTCTCCCAGGGTCTCTAACCCTTACACCCTCGTGTCAGGGCTGGCTGACTTGGGAGCCCAGGAAACGTTGAGCTGTTTTGTGTCAGTCTGTCTGGTCTGTGTGGCTGCCGCTTTCCAGGTCTGGGTGGCATCTGCAACTCTTGGCACTTGGGGAGCATTGTAGGTGTGAGCAAGGCAGTCTGCTCTGTGTCTGTCCTCTGGAGGTGAACACAGTGAACTCAGAGGGGCAAGAAGCTCAGGAGTCTGTGGACCCCGGGTGCTTCCAGGCTGTGCCTCCTTCCCAGGGCTGCACTGCCTGAGGCTGGTGCAGGCTGAAGGCAGGAGATTTTCACTTCCTGGCCTCCCTGTGCCCCCTTGTTGGTGGCCACCTACACAAACAGTGGCTTTGTGAGGGGCAGGAGAACAGCTCTCTCCTGGCTCCCTTTCTTACTCCCTTTGCTGGCACCGTGACTAAATTCTGATGGTCAGGGAGCGGAGTCACATGTGCTGATCCTTCCTGTCCTCAGTGCTTCCTTCTCTCCATCCACTAACTGAGTCTAGGGCCATTACATTAAGCTGCATCCATTTTTAGTGCCTTTCCCCACCAAATTCTGAGGGAAGATCTTACTAAGCTTCCTGAGATGGTCTCACACTTGGGTTCTTCCTGCCCCAGCCTCCTGAATGAGTGGCTGGAATTATGCATGTGTGCCCCTATACCCAGTTTGTTTGTATTTTCTAACTCAGACGTTTGCTTCAGCAGGGGCTGTTTTGCTATGACTTTTCTAGCTGGTGTACTTTGTTTTAAATTTCATTGTTTTGAATACATACACAGTACAAGCCAGCAGTGGTGAGGCATGCCTATGTAATCCCAGCAGTCTGGAAGGCGAGGCAGAAGGGTTGCAGGTTTGAGCTCAGCCTGGGCAATTAGGGACTTAGTGAAAATCTATCGCAAAATAAAGAATAAAGAAAGAGCTGGGCACCCCTGTAATCCCAATACTTGAGAGGCTGAGGCAGGAGGATCACGAGCTTGAGGCCAGCCTGGGCTAAACAGTGAGTTGGAGGCGAGCCTGAACTTCATAGTGAGACCCAGCCTCAAACAAACAAACAAACAAAACAGTTGGGGATGTAGCTCAGTGTAAAGTCCCTGGGTTCAGTCCCCAATCCTGCAACCAAAAAACAAAACAAGCCTGTGGGAGTGCCCCACACCTGGAGATGAGATGCTTGCCCTGCAGGCCACGCAGCTGCCACAGTTCTGTGTCCACAGCAGGAGCCAGTCCTGTGCAAACCTCTGCTGTGTTGCTCCAACATGGGCTCAGAAGATGCCCACTGTGGGGACAAGGAAGGGCCCAGGCCCGATCCATGAGGTTGCACATTCTGTCACCCACCTTTTGGAGAGGCAGCAGGCCTCTCAGCTCTCGGCTTCTCCCTGCAGGTGACCTATGGCTCCTTTGACTACACCTCGCTGCTGTACCTGTCTGACTACCTGGAGGACTTTGGTGGAGGGCGCTTCGTGTTCATGGAGGAAGGCGCCAATAAGACAGTGGAGCCCAGGGCTGGTAGGACTCGGAGGCTCAGGGCGGGCAGCTCAGTGCTGCACACACCCACATGCATGTGCATGCCCTATACACGTGCGTGTGGAGTACAGGGCGGGTTTACTTGGAGCCGTGCTCTGTTTAGGGAGCACCTACCATGAGTGAGGGGTGATAGCCTGTGTTTCATGGAGCACAAATTCTGGCCAGGGCCTGGGGGAATAGGGGGTCCTCGAGATGAGACTTCGGTGGCAAAAGCATGTGGTCGGGCAGAGTGTGAGGCTGTGGTTCAGGGATAACAGCAGGAGCGTCTAGGCTAAGGAGTGAACAGACCATACACTGTCCTGTGTGGAGTCTCCAGCAGAGCTGGGAACAACTGCTTTTTGTCCATTTTTGCAGTGCTGAGATTGAACCCGGGCGTTTGCACTGAGCTACGTCTTTGATTTCTTTTTTAATTTTGAGACAAAGTTTTGCTCAGTCATTAATTTGCCAGGTATTTGACTCTTGATTTTCCTGCCTTAGCACTCAGAGTGCTGGGATTGCAGGTGTGTGCTACTGTGTCTGGCTCTGCTTGTTGTTTCAGGGACTTTTTAAATGTCTCTTAAAACCTCAGTATGTTGCTGTGGGATTCCTCTCTTAAGATCTCAGGGTCCCAGGTGTGGTGGTGTGTGCCTGTAATCCCAGCACTTGGGAGGCGGAGGCAGGAGGATTGCCATGCGTTCAAGGACAGCCTGGACTACATAGCAAGACCCTGTCTCACAAATAACAACAACAGCAATAACAACAATCTCAGTGTGCTGCTGTACCTCACATGTTAGTTTGAGATTAGTTGCAGGCTTATGGAGAGGCATTTCCTTGTACCCACCATCCCAGTTCCTGGCTGCCGCCTCTCCTTGCCCTTGCCTGCACCCAAGGTGGGCAGCTGAGCTGTCCCCACTGCAGCAAGGGATGCCCCAGCTGACTCCCCACAGCAGCCTGACCCCTCCCTGGGCACCTTTGCATCTCCCCATGGCAGCTCAGGCCCAAGCCGGTACCTGTGGGTTTTGGGTTGCATAGAATCAAAGTGGAATTCCCAGGAGCAGGATCCCACTGATCCCACTGGCCCTTGGTGCCAGCCTCCACCTCCAGCCAGGCCAGTTATTTGTTGCTGTGGGGTAGGCCCTGGGTCTGGTCCAGTTTTATCCTCTGGTCAGGGCCTTGGGGGCTGTTAGCCAGCTGCCATCCCTTGAGGCTGGGCCTGGAGGGTCTGCTTCAGGCTTCTGTGGCGGGCGGAAGCGTCTGCTTCTGTAATGCCTGCTTGCCACAGCCCTCGTTGTTCCTGGCCATTCAGGCCGGGAGCCACAGCCCTTCTGTGGCTTTACCACAGAGGTGGCCTCCCAGTCTTCTGGCTCCTTCTGTTCCTGAGGGAAGTGCCAGGCTTGGCACCAGAGGTGGAGGAGGGACCAGCAGGACAGAAGGCATCTCAGAGGCTCTCTGCCACGCCTGCATGGATTGGCAGTGGGGCCTCAGCTTGTCATTTGCCATTCTCTGATGATAGATCATGCTAGACACGTCTCTAGTTGCTGTTCACCTCTGGGTCCTTTTGTACAGTGTTTGTCCATGTCCACTCTTTTCCAGCCAGGCCGCCTTCTTGAATATAAAGAGTCCATGTAGTCTAAACATCTTTTATTGGGTATATGTTTTGTAAATATATTCTCTCAATGTATGGCCTCACATTTTCTTTCTTTCTTTTTTCTTAAATCTTTTTGAGACAGGGTTTTTATTATTTAGTTCAGTCTGACCTTAAACTCACTTTGTATCCCAGTCTGGCCTTGAACTCAGATGCTGTTTCTTGATCCCTACTTCTGATGTTTGGAGGGATGCTGCTGACCTTCTCTCTCCTTGGGTGTGCTCTCTCCTCTTTCTTTGCTGACTTCAAGATATCCTGCCATCTTCCATATGAGGTGCTAAAGTGGATTTATCTGTATTTATCCCAAGTGGTGTTTGTTCCTCTTATTAGATATAAAAGTCAGCTTTCCATCTTGCTGGGGAGGCTTTGGGGTGTTATTTCTCTCCACAGCTTTCTCTGCCCCTGGCTCTTCTCTCCCTATCCGAGATTCCAGTGATGGGGGCAGGTAATTTCCTAGTATCTTCATCCTTTCTCCCTCTGGCTTCTGGAGCCTCTCCAAGGTGGGCATATGCTGCAGGGGTGGTAGAGGGAGAAGCACATTGGTGTTTGCGATGTGGGAGCAGAGAGAGGGTGTCTTGGGGGCGAGGGCCCCACCTACCCCAGGGCTTTGGGCACCATCCTGCCAAGGCCCCTATTGCTTATTCCCACATTTCAGGTTAGCTTGTAACTGGGAGAAATCGAGGACAAAATGTCCTTGGAAAATGCAAGCTCAGAAAGTGCCGTGGCTCCAGGCCATCCTGCCTTTGTGTCTTGCCCAAGCAGGAGGAGCACAGTCTCTGCTCCCCAGGTCTGCTACTGAGTACAGGGTTGCCCTTGCTCTACTGACCCTGGGATGTGGTGCCCATCAGGAATGACCTTGCTCATTTTGCAGAGATTTAGAATTAAATTGGAAGCATGAAAGGAAAAAACAGGCTTTCCAGCACTAGTCTTTGTTAGGAAATGGAACTATCCTGAACATTTGGAGCCAGGCCATGTGGCCCAAATGGGACTTCAGAATCTTGTGCTCCTCACTCTTGACTTTGCAATGGCTGATTGGAGTATTTAGCAGTAAGTACTTACCTAATAAAAAGTGTGGCGGGGTCATTTATACATGAGAGCAAATGAATGGGCTTCTTGGATGGAGGGATTCTTACCCCAGGGCCTTTCTATCTATATTTTCTATTTCCACTTGAAGGGACCTGGCCACATATTTGCGTGTGGGTTTGTCTTGAGAGCTTCCTGGACTATTAGAAAGAGGCTGGTAGGTTTTTCCACAGCATGGTAGAAAGCAAGAGCAAAGAAAGGAAAAAAAGAAAAAGGCCTTTATTGTGGCATGGAAGGGCAGCAGTAAAGGACAAGATCCCCTCAGGACAAAGAAGCTTCCTGCTTTTATTCTGTTTGACGGGGTGGATTTTGAAGGGGCGGGCAGATTAACGTTCTGATAGCTGATTGGGAGAATGGTGGCTTGCAAGTGAGGGGGCAGAAGAAGGGAGCTAGAATGCCCCTTCTTCCCTGTGCTTCCAGGGCTGATCTGTCTCTCAGCATGGTGGCATCCTGTGGCAGCAGTTCAGGAAAGACAGGTTCCTCCAACCTGTCTCCTGCTGTGGTGGTCCCTGCTGACACTGGCCAATGACACCTGCTGTGCTCCCCAAGAGCCCCTGTGGCAGGCATGTGACCTCTGGGGTCACATCTCTGTCTCCTTTCCTCTTCAGGTCGGGTTTCCTTCTTCACTTCGGGGTCCGAGAACCTGCACCGGGTGGAAAAGGTCCGCTGGGGCACCCGCTATGCCATCACCATTGCCTTCACCTGTAACCCCGACCATGGCATTGAGGACCCGACTTTCACGTAGCCCAGGGGCCAAATTCCTGCCCGCACCTGGCCCACCTCCCACGGGGAAGCAGCCACGTCGAGGCCTGGACAGTGCTGCCTGTGCCTGCCCCATCTTCCTAGCTCCTGTTTCCATCGAAGAGTGCCTTATCTTACTTTGCTGGTGTTTCAATCTTTTATCTCTGAGTAAATCAAGGGAGCCGCTTTCCACCTCACTGGCATGTGCACTTGTTCTGGGAGCTGCTCACGATGGGCACCGGCCCCTCCATCCCCAAGGGAGCCATCCTGGACCTGTGAAAAGACTCCTGACTGAGCAGAGAGCAAGGAAATCCACCCTGGCGCATCAGAGACAGGCCCAGTGGGCAGATGGCATGGGGACTGTGAGAACCCAGGAATAAACGCAAGAGCAGAACTGACTGCTGTTTGGAGGACCTTCTGGAGAGCAGTGGCTTCCGGAGAGCAGGATGGAGGTGGCAGTGCAGGCCTGTTACCTGCAGGCCTCTGCTTTTGCACCTGGGAATTACCCTGGTGCCACCAATTCATTTTGCTGGGCCCTGCCTGTCACTCCCAGAGCCCCACCTGTCCAGGTCCCTACATGTCCAGCCACTAAAGAGACTGCTGGTGTCCATATCCCCGGATGCTTGGTGCAGCTCTGTCTGCTCATTCCATTTGTCCTGATGTTGCCTTTGCCTTTCACATTAAAGCAGCAGTCAGGAGCCAGGAGTTGACTGACTCTGGGGCGGGCCAGGGCCTGAGGGGCACATCTTTTGCCTGTGTGGCTGTTGTCCTGGATTTGGGCACCTTTCCCAGAAGAAGGGCTGGCCACATGCTGAGTGAAGGGGGCTCCAGAATCACCTCAGGGAGCTGGACTTCCTGTCACTGTGACCCTGGCTGCCTGGGAGGAGTGGGTGGAACACCCTATCTCTGGCCACCTAGCATGGCACATGGCCACACATCCCTGAAGCATGTATCTGACACTGCAGGCATCCATCAGCTCTGTACCCCCCAAATCTTCAGTGCCAGGATTCAGGGCTCATGTGGCCTTGGTGCTGTGATGGGCTTATAGATCAAGGGAACATTCCTGGGCCTGAGCATACAAGGTTGGAGCTTAGGGCCCAGTGTGCCTTGTGGGTGTTTGTCTCCCGTGCTTTGGCATAGAGGCAGCCTGAGCCGCTCTTGGTTCTAGCGCATTCCATCCTTGCTCTGGGAAGTGCTTTAGTATGGGCAGGTGGGACAAGAGCATTGGGTTGGCTGTCCCCTAACTTTCCTGAGCAGGAACTGGGGCGTGGGGCGTGGTTTTGAAAGAGGTTGTTAATGGCTGTGGAGGATGAGGCTGTGGCTGGTGGGTGGGGCTGTCTTTGTAGGGGTGGCTGCTTCAGGACTGTCGAGTCAGGCCAGTGGGTCCCAGGCCTCCTTGCACTGGGCTCGTTCTTAGCTTTCTGGCATCATAGTTAGGACAGGCATACCCACCTCTGCTGCCTGCATCTACTCCATGGTCACAGCCCTGTGTCCGGGGCACGCTGGCCTCTGCTGCCCATGCACCCACTGCCTTTGTGCCTAAGAGGGTCTGGCCAGCTTCACCCAGCCCAGTGGTGGCCCAAGCTGGTCTGGCCTGTGGGGAGAGCAGGAGTTGGGCAGGGACAGGCCGTAGGATGGCCAAAGCTTCTGAGGGTTCTAGAGAGGCTGATCTACCACTGACACTGAGTTTCTATCTCCATGGCTGGGGCTGGAGTGGGGGTTCTGCAGCCTGGAGATGATCCTGCCTGGTGTCCCTGAGGTTCGGGGGCCATTGGAGGAGGGAAGCTGCATCTGAATGGTCCTCACGTGGGTAGCCACAGTGGAGTGACCGATTGACATTGTGCTAGCCCATTTTACATGAGCCTCTCTGTTTCCCTCCCAGGCAGGACCAGAGGCAAAACCAGGCCAATGGTTTTCCTTTCTATAGACCTTGTGGCTACGCAGAATTAAATGGCCCAAGGGAACTGCTTTTGGGCCTATGCTGAGGGCCCCCAAGTCCTGTTCTTTTAATTCTGAGGTTGTTTTATTCTAAGTTTCCACTCCCCAACATATCTCATGGAAGCCAGGGGCCCAGAACCTGAGAAGGAACCTCCATGGCACCCATGATGTCGGTCTCCATCCAGGTCCCCTCTTGGTGGAGATGCAGTTGGTCAGGAGGAGCTGGGGGCCACAGGCTTGGTGTACATGAGGCTGTTTCCAAGGTCACAGGTCCTGCCTGCCACCTGCTGAAGGGCTGGCTACTGCCCACCCTTCCATGGGGACACAGAGCAGGGCACTGCTGCTCATCCTGTGGTGAGGGAGGGGACAGCCTGTGGGCACAGCTGGTTTGTCCTCAGACCCCTTCATTCCAGTGACAGATGATTTTCAAAGTGATCAGGGAGAAACAGTTAAAGCAGTGAGACGATCAGTTCAGAAATTTGAATTAAGACCAAGCAGAGGGGAGGGCTTTGTACTGCCTACCCGAAGTGTGGGCGCCTCGGAGCTCAGAGGACTGCATAGCCAACCGTAGTGTTGCGGTACATACCAGGCTTTCTCAGGGAAGATGCAAGAGCTCTCCTCCTGTGATCTGGGCTCCTCCCCAGGGGACCCTCAGTCCCTGCTGCTTATCATCCATTGAGTCCCGCTTCTCTGCTTCCCCAAGTCCTCTTTCCTTCTAGTCTGCTCCTAGCCGTGAGCCGGGCAGTCCTGGCCAGCAGGGGGCAGTGCCGCAGCCCAGCTGCTCCCTCAGAGGGCCTGAGTCTGCTCACCTTGGGCTGCTCCTGCACAGAGGGGACCAGCCTCTTGGGGTTCCTGCCGGGCTATCTGTAGGGCTGGCCCAAGGGAGAGGGCCTTGGAGCTCCCTTGTTCCCGGGCAAGGCCTTTGTGCAGACTGAGAGGCACAGAGATGCCTCTGTACAGACTGGCCAGTGCCATCCAGCCCTGCTGTCCTAGCCAGGACTGCCTCACCACAGATGCTGTCACCATGATGACCCACAGTCCAGGGGTCCCTTCTACCTCCCTTTGATGGGGGGCAGTGTCCAAAAGCAATAGCTCTACAACAGTGTCTCCTGGCCACAGTGTTCCTTCCCAGAGAACTTCATTCTCAGGAACATCAGGAGCTTGGGGAGGTGAGCTTGGGGTGTGAGATTCTTCACTGCCTTGGGGAGCATCTTGGGTGTGAGGTTCCTGATGCATCCCACAGAGGCTGGGCACCTCCCACCCTTCCCATTGTGCACCCATAAAAACTCACCCTCGGGGGGCTGGGGATTTAGCTCAGTGGTATAAGCACCTGCCTTGCAAGTGTGTGGTCGTGAGTTTGATTCCTGGTACCAGTAAAAAAAGAAAAAGACAAAAAACAAACAAACAAAAAAACAAGTCACCCTCGGCACTTGCTATGGGGGTTGGGGTACGTGTGCTGGCCTGGGCAGGGGTGCTCTTCTGGGAGCAGAGGGGGCCTGGAAAGCCCTGTGGGGCTGCATGGTCAGCCTGGGAGATGTGGCGTCCACCCCATTGCCAGGACACTGGGGTTCCATATCCAAATCCCAGCCAAGCCACAGCCACCTGGAGACAGACTTCTGCTGGCCTGGACTGCAGGGCACTGGGTGGGCCGATCCTTCCCAGCTGGGCACGGTGGTTGATCTATCACTTACTTGTTCACCCACTGGGCGCCAGGCCCTCTATGTCCTGTGTGTGGGCCTGCAGCTGTGGATGAATTTGCTCTAGGCTGAGGCACTTGGGCGGGGTACTTGGGTCAGTGTTGTGCCCCACAACCTGCCTTGCCTCTCTTGAGGCAGGTGGGCGCCCACTCAGCTAGTCCCTGTCAGGCTGCTTTGCTGCCCAAGGTCTTCCTGGAAGCTCTGTGAACTGGCACAGCCAAGGCCTCCGCTGCCCCAGGACCTCTGCTCTCCAGCTCTGTTTCAAGCCTGGGGACCAAGGTCCAGCTTTCCAAAATGTGGGGTCCCAGCTCAATGTTTCACAAAGGTGCTCTCCATGGCCTTCTATTCAGAGAAATTCCTAGCTGGGCATGGTGGTACCCACCTGTAATCCCAGCACTCAGGAGGCTGAAGCAGGACGATCCCAAGTTTGGGCCCAGCCTGAGCAAGTTAGAGATTTAGCAAGACCCTGTCTCAAAATGGAAAAATGGCCAAGTATGTTGCTTAGTGCAAAGGCCCTGTGTTCAACCCCGGCTACTGAGAGGAGAAATAAAAAATTCTTTTCCCTGCGTGCACAATAAATTCCAGGTGGAAGCCAAAGACAGGAAGCCTCACACCCCACAGATGAACCTTCATGGAATGACTGCAGGAGACAGTTTCTACTAAAAATAGACACCCACTCACCCAGCATTCTCTGCTGGGAATTACCTGGGGAAACAAAGTTCCCCACACCAGGGTTCCTAGGAGCTCCATTGGCATCTGTCTACAGTGGACCGGACACCCCACACAGGTGGCACAGACTGTGGACCTATCTGTCAGTGGATACCAGGCAGCTGTATGAGGGAGAGCTGCAGTCATGCCTCCATGGGGCCTTGGATTCCGGGATCACATCTGCAGAAGCAACAGCCAGCAAAACCCTGTGGACAGCGGCTGGGTCATCACCTCTGGGGGTCCACGGAGGGAAGGGTCTGAGAGCCTTGAGGTTTGTAAGGCCTTGGAAACATGGAGCTGTAGTACTGCGCAGCCCAGGCCACAAGTTATCTTCCAGTCTTGTTCTGTGGGCGACTCTACCATGAAACCTGCTAGAGCTTGGTCTTGGTCCCAGAAAGCGAAGGACTGCTTCTGAAACCCCCTGGTTGGGCTCTGGCAGGTTCCATTAGCTGGAGTACCCAAGGCAGGGGCACTCGCTGCTCAGGGACACTGGCCTCCTGTGACACTGGCCAGGTCGCTGGACCTGGCCAGATCCCAGCCTCTTCCACTCACCCACTTTGTTCCCCTACAGCAGGTGATGATGGTCCAGAGAGGGGGGGGGGTGTGAGGATGAGGTTCCCAAGAGTTGCTAGGGCCTTGTTAATTCTGGGAATGCACAGTACCCCAGTGGGCAGAGATCTGAGGCCTGAAGTGACGGAGGCCTGAGACTCAACATCTAAATACTGCTCGGGTTACAGAGTCCTGGGAGAAACTTGGAAAAGACCCAAAGCTATAAAGTTAAAGTAATTACCTAAATGTTTCTCATCATGAGCCGATGTTGTTGATATTTTCAGAGCATCTCTTCTAAGCTGTTACACACATGGGCACACATACAAACCCATGTGTGTGCATACACACACTCAGAGCTGCCCAGACAGACTTGCCTGTTTGTTCCTCTTGAATGATGCTCAGGCCCATGCTGTGCAGTTTTGTGCTGTGGTCCTCTGCCACTTACTGTGGCTTGGATTTGTTCCCTTGGAACCCTTGTGGCGTCACTGCCGCCATCCTCTGAAGCTATTCTTCCCTCCTCAGCCATGCTGGGGATCCCTTCTCCACCATGGGGCGCTCCACAGTGAATCCAGGTTTCCAAGCAAGGCTCCATGCACATGCCCTCATCCACATCTGCCACGTGGATTTCAGGGTAAAGTAGAGGTGGACTTGCACATGTAAGGGGTGCACATGTCCCCATGGCTCTTTCCATTTATTTATGTATTTATTGGGGCACTGGAGAGGGAACCCAGGGCCTCACACCTGCAAGGCAAGCGCTCTACTGCTGAGCCCCTGGCCTTGGAAGAGCAAGCTTAACACTGCCACTGCTCACTGTGTGTTCTCTACGCGGCTTGAAGCTTGCATTTATTTATTTAGCATCCAATTCCAAACATTTGGCAGAATTCTCACTTCTATCCTGAAGGCCCCTGGGTTTGGAGGCAGATTTCTATAGCCTTCCTTTTCCTTGTTTTACAGATGCACCCACTTGTCCTCCTTCCTTCCTCCTGGCATTCGTGTGTGAAACGCCACCTGCATTTCACCCTGACCTCCCTGAGGAGCAGCCCTTGACTCTGGGCCAATCCCTGATCCCCGCCTTGAGTCTTGCTGGGCCAGTCCACCCATCAGGAACGTGGCCCCAATGCCTCTGTGCCAGTGCTGCTCAGTGCTGGTTTTATAGATGAACCAGGAGACTTTTCTAGCTCTCTCCGTAAGTCCTGTGGCCTCAGGACAAGGGGCCCAGAGCCAGTGGACCGACTGCCAAACCCTTGCTGGTCTGTGGTCCTGCTCAGTGGCCTCAGCCTCCTGTCTGACTGCTGCTGCCCAGAACTGACCTCGGAGAGGACTGGAGCCTTGGTGGGATGGACAGAGCCCCTCCAGGGTAGGGCTGGAAGGAAAGTAGCTGCTGCCTGTGGTCTCCGGAGCCTGATCCCAGGGTAGGCAGGGTCTTCCACAGGCATCAGTGCTGCCCCACCTTCCTCTCAGCACGACTCTGACACCTGGCCATGGTGTTCTGGAGTGGGACCATGCTCCACACACGGATTTGGGCTGATTTCTTCTCCTGCAGACCAGAGTGCTGGATAGATAACGTTTTAAACCAGGGGGAACACGGCATGGGGGTGCAGGCCTGCAACCCCCGCACTCTGGGACACTGAGACAGGAAGATTGACAGTTTGAGCCCAGCGTGGGAAATTAAGTGACTGAGACCCTAACTAAAAAACAAAACATCCCCCCCCCCATAAAAAAAATATAAAAGCCCAGGGAGCTCAGTGCAGAAACTCCGGGTTCAGTTCCAACTACTCGGAAAAAGAAAACAAGGGGGCTCAACCATCGCCCTGAGCAGCCTTGGCCCCTAGCACCTCCCTGGGGCCTGATGGGAAGGTGGCTGGCTCTCTAGCAGCTGGCCAGGCCAAGAAGCATGGCATCCCCTTGCCACTCACCTTTCTTCACCCTGGGAACCAGGTGTCCAGGCCATGGGACCCCTGTTTGGGTCTGACCCCTGCACAGCGGCTGTGAGGAGGATGCATTCCGAGAGGCCAGCCTATGACCTCCCCCATGCTCCATGTGCAGAGACCCATCCTGGGTTGGCACTGGCCAACCCCTGGGGAGGTGACCAGGGGCCTGGTGTCCAGTCCTACCAGCTCCTAAGGGCAGAGGTTTGGGTCATGCAGGGCAGATCCCTGCTTTGGGCTGACAAGGCTCCAGGGTCATTGCTGCAAGACCTGCAAGCTGAGACACAGGTCAGGTACCATAAGTCAACTGTCCCTGTCCCTAGCGTGTAGGGCTGAGTGCTGACGGCCTTGTGTCAAGGTCCAAGTGTACGTGGATCGTCTGTGTTGGGCCATGGTTGGCTTCCTCTGACCTGTGCTCGCTGACTCTGGGCTCTGATGTGGAAGAGCTGAAATCTGGAGGTGCTGGGTGCACCGAGGCTGGGGGAGGCGAAGTTTCAAAGGTTCACCGCACATGTGGCAGCCATGGGGGTCAGGGCTCACTGTCCAAGGGGGTAGTCAACACCTCAGCTGGATAGCAGCAGGAGCACCCACGGGCCAGGAAGACAGGCCAGGGTCCTAGGGCTCCCTCCTCTCTGCCCCAAGTCTCAGAGGTCCAGAGCACTGTGGCTGCATCTTCCAGCTCCTTCCACTGCAGCAGCCTGGCCAGCCTGGGGCTCCAACCATCAACTTGCCATGTTCACTTGAGGCTCTAGGAGCCAGAAGCCTGTCCCCGACGGCCCGGGATGTTGGTGTAGAGTTGACTGTGACAGGCCTGTGTCCCAGGGACACTGGCCACCTGTCTGAGTTCACAAATGTGTCTTATTCAGCATTCAAAATAAGGCCACTAAAAGCCCCAGGGGACATGAGGACTAACATCACCACACCCAAGAAGACACTGTCCCCACATCCCCAGGAGCCTGGTGGGGGAGGAGGGGACCCCAGGGGCAAGAGGGTCAGTTGGGCTGAGTTCTGCAGTGCAACTCTGCTGCTGTGCCCAAGATACTAGGAGGCCCCTTGGGTTGTGGAGAAATTGAAGGTGGCCTCTGCCTCCCAGAGTCAAGGCCAGCCAGGCCGTGGACACACAGCCGCTGCTCCTGGGGCCAGGGAGGGGACAGTGGAGGCCGGAGTGGAGGTGACCCACTGTGACACTGGCCTATCTTATGGCGGGCTGTGCTTCAAGACATCACCAGGTGGGATGCCTAGCTAGCAGATACCAGACAGGATGGGGCTGGCCAGGCAGGGCCAGCCCATGGGTTACCCCCCCCCCCCCCGTGAGGTGCTTCTAGAACAGTCAGGAGGAAGGTGGTGTGATAGGGAGTGTGTGTGTTGTGTCCAGTGTACATATGATGAGTACGAGGTGCTTTTTGTTGTGTGACATGCTTATGTTTGCTATGTAGGAGTTGGGTGTGTGACCGTGTGTGTGGTACATTTGTTCTATGTGATGTGCTTGGGGTGTGTACATGCGGCATATGTGGGGACTGGGTGGTTTTGTCATGTGGTTCTTGAATGTTTGAGGTGTGTACCATCTGTTTGGTGTACGTGATCTGTGTCATGTGTGTTTAGTGTGTGCAGTGCTGTGTGTCATGTGACACTGTGTGTGGTATGTGTCACTGTCCTGGGACTGACCCCGGGGGCTGGTGCTGGGTCAGGACAACGCTGTGACCAAGTTGAGCAGGTGCAGGGCCTCTGGGGAAGGTCATTGTGCCACAGAGCAGCCGGGTGTTAATCCCTGCCTCCCAGCACGGCTGCTCCTGGAGCAGAAAGCAGTGCAGACCACAGGACAGGTGTGGGGATGTGTGGACAGCCCTCACGGGCTCTCAAAGGAGCAGGAATGGTGTAGCCAACTTGGGGAATGGAATGGTGTTCCTCAAAGACCTACATCTAGTCAGGTGTGCTGTGCACGCCTGTGACACCGGTGCTCGGGGAGGCTGAGACAGGAAGTTCAAGCCTAGCCCAAGTGACTTAGCCAGACCCTGTCTCACAAAAACAACAAAACAACAGAAAAATCCTTCTGTTGTTTCTGTGCATAACTATAACAGAGTCCTAAAACTGGATTGGGATGAAGATCTTGTTTTGACTGATTAGACTCTGTTCCATTCTGTGCGATAGTAGCAAGTCTGAGGGTATAGGCAACTAATTTGAAGGCAATAAGATTCACAAAGATGCCCATTCTGGTTTGACTATTGTCTCCTTTGGAAGTCCTGTAATGTTCACAATGCCTAAGTTTTATTGGTCTTGTTCTCCACTGTTTTGTCCGGCTTTATAATATCTAATGAGATGGACAATTCCTTTTAAGGAAACAAGAGACAATGTTGATAACCATTGTTGATGACCTTGTACTCTGTTCTACATCATGTGCTATGTCTATCCTTGGTTTGGACTTACAGCTTTGTTTTGCCATATTTGACTTTATTCTCTCCCCCCCAAGAGAGTAATGAGAACTGAGGAGTAATAAAATCCAAAATGTATAAATTTTGTTATAAAAAAGAGAGGGAGGGGAAAAAAAAAAGAGCTCTAACGGATATAACAACAAGTGTGTTTAGGGATGTTAAATAGCTGACTATATTAATGTTTTTGGATCATTGAACACAGCTGTTTGCAGTCTCTCCGTTTGAATGTCTACTTTGTATTCTTTGATACTGTGATTTGAGCAACTATTTCCAAGATGATATTATGTAATCTATTAACAGGTGATTTCTTACTGTTATGTTTTTTTTTTGTAGTTATGTATTATGTGTAACCTTACACTGCTTTGTTTTGTTTTGTGTTTTTCTCTTTTTCCTCTTAAATAAAAAAAAAAAAAAAAAAAAAAACTGGATTGGGATGGTAGTTGCCCATCTCTGTAAAAGGGATACCTGCCCTATCCAGGCCCCACAGGCCTTCAGTGGCCTCATAGTCTGGGGATCAAGGGCCTAGCCTGGGCTCCAGGCAGGCAGGGTGGAGGCTGGGCATAGTGCCCACGGGGCTGGAGACCAGCTCCAGCCAGACAGGGTCTGTAAATCTTCTCCTTGGCTTGGGCAGTGCCTGCCTCTGCCAGGAGCTGGGATCTGGCTGCCCATGGGGACCTGGGGCCAGAAGTTTGGGGGCCAGCAAGCTGGTGGCAGCCCCAAGGGCTGGGGCTGGTGTTTGTGCCAGGCAGGAAGGGGCGAGGGGCTCTACCTCAGAGCCCTTTGACATCATCCTTGACACCATTGCCCGAGGCCTGTGGCGGGTGCGGATGTGCTTGCTGGTCCAGGAGTGGGCACGGTGGCCTGGGGGCACAGTGTAGCACCTCATGTGCCCCACCTCACAAGCATGTGCTGGCCAGGCTGGTGACCTGCTCTGAGGGCAGCCCCTGGGAGGCCTGGTGCTGGGCTGAGCTGCAGCTATGCTTGGTCCATCTGCATTGGTGTTGGTGTGAGGCTGGGCAGCGGGTGCACTGGTGAGGGCACGGGCTCCTCCTGCAGGCTGCCTTTCACCTGAAGGGCCCTCCTGGGTCTGGAACTCTGAAGAACTCCACTCACTGTGCCACTCTGTACCCCAGGTGCCTGCCAAAGGCCCAGCTCCTCCACAGCTGGACCTCAACTATGGGGGCCAAGGTCACATTCCATAGCACACACACGCACCAGCCTGAGGACCCTGTGCTCTTAGAAACAGTGGATGGAGGGCACTGAGAGAAGCCCAGGCTCTGCCCTGGAGGACTAGGGGCTCCTAGAGTAGGGGAACTGGACAGAAGCTGATCCTGCCACGGCACTGTAACTGCAAAGGTGCCATGTGCAGTCACCACTGGGGCCATACTCTGTCCTGCCAGCTGTGTCCCACCCTTGTCCAAAGCTGTGCAGAGCTGGCCGGCCAGGTAGGCCGAGTGTGAAGAGATCAAGCAGTGGAGTTTCCCCCAAATCCTGTGGCAGCTGCCCCGGGCCAAGGTCACTGGTCCAAACCTCAGACCTGTAAACAGAAGCCCCAGCTCTGGCTCTGGAATTTTCAATTTTAATTTTGCTTTCATTTCTTAATAGTGACAAAGCTTTAGGAATCAGGCTTTGGTTAAGAAAGAAAAAGGATTTTTAAAACCCTGAAGTCTCCCTACCCCATCAAGACATCAAGAGGCAGGCAGGGCACCCACGTGCCCCCATGTCTCCCACTAGCCCCCACTTTTGTCTTGGCTTGTTTGTCCTGTGACGTGGGGTAGAATCCAGGGCCTGGTGCACATGAGGCAGGCACTTTACCAATGAGCTACTGCACACCAGCCCTTTCTGTTTTTAAGGTAAAATACTTGTCACAAACTTGCTGTCTTAGCCTGGTGAAGCACATGGGTCCAGGCACTGTCCAGCATGACCACCTAAGTCCAGAAACACCCTGCATCCTGGGCCTGCCTCTTCCTGGACACGTGGGTCACCGACATGGGCACCTGTCCTGGCAGTGACTGTTCTCTCTCTGGGTCTTCCCATCCTAAGGCTCTGCTTCCCAGGACCCCCCTGTGGAGGGGGGAACAGGTGTCCTCTTCCCAAGGTTCCCTAGGGGCTGGCTGTGGGGGGACAGGGAGGGGACATCAGCACTGTTCCCAGGTCTGGTTATGGAACAGGGAGAGAATGGTGGCAGAGGAGAGGCCAGGGCAATTGGCTGTTGGGCACCATGAGTGTCATTACTGCCAACTCGAGCCGCCCAAGCTTGCCTCCTGTGTTCTCTGATGTGGTCACAGCTGGGTGGTCCTCCTCCCACCCCTGGCCTATCCTGCCCAGGCCTGCCCTTCCACCCATCTTCCCTACCCTGATGACAAGCAGGACAAGCCACAGGGCCAGCACAGTCCTCAACGGCAGATGGACTCCTCTGTGTGCCTGGGCCCCTCCCGGGCCTGGGACACCCTTTCTTCCTTTGGATTTATTGCCCAAGTGCTGAAGGAGGAGGACAGCAGAAGCCAGGCGGGACAGGTGGGCGAGGCAGGTGCACAGCAGGTGTTGGCATCCTGTGCTCTGGGTGGAAGATGGTGTGGGGTGCTCAGCTCACCGTCTGCAGAAGCCAGGTCTCGGCAGGAGGCCCCTGAAAGCCCTGGAGGTGACCTGTGCATGGGACACTGGCATTGTTGGGAGGAACTGATGAAGCCAAGGGAAGTCATGGGGAGGACAGCAGGGAGCTGTTAGGAAGCGGACTGAGGGGTGGCAGGGCCAGGAGTGGGATTCTGCCAGGCTTCCCAGCCTGACCTCTCACACCCCTTCCCCACGCTGCCCCCCAGTGGCTCAGACACAGGCCCCTCCGGGGGCCGGGGACAGCAGCAGGATCTCAGTGGCCTGCTGGCTGCTGGAGGATAGCGAGTGGCCCAAGTCGCCCTGAGTGTGGGTCCGGCTGAGCAGGGAGTTGGTGCCGCCCACATCCCCACGGCCGCGGCTGCTCTTCGGGGCATGTGAGCGGCGGTGCCAGTGCTCACGGAAGTTCTTGGAGAGCAGCGTGTAGAGGAAAGGGTTCATGCAGCTGTTGCCGTAGGTGAGGCAGGTGGTCAGGTAGTTGACTATGCGTGTGGTGTGGGGTGCGAGGGGCAGGGCCTCGAGGTACTGGGACAGCAGCTGCCACAGCCAGAAGGGCAGGAAACAGGCCCAGAAGAGCAGCACGATGCTCAGGATGAGGTACAGCACTCTTGGGCTGGGCAGCCGCCGTGTCTGCTTGAAGGAGGCCTGCTGCGACTGCCAGTAGGCACGGGCCAGGCGCACATACAGCAGCCCAATGACCAGGCCTGGCCCCACGATGCTGGTCCCAAAGAGCATTGTCAGGTAGGCGCGGTGGGCGTGTGGACCCCAAGTTGGCAGGCAGAGGTGCTTGGGGCCCCGGGGGACCAGCCGGATGGCCAGCATCATGGGCAGGGTCAGCAGGAAGGCCAGCAGCCAGGTGCCCAGCACAAGCAGCTTGCGGTACCCCTTGGAGCGCCGTGCAGTGTCCAGAGGCCTGAGCACCGCCGCGTAACGCTCACTGCTCATGACAGTCAGGGTGAAGATGCTGGCGTGCATGGTCAGGAAGTCCAGGCTGAAGAGGACGCGGCAGCCCACATCGCCGAAGCGCCAGTCCTTGGTGATGTAAGTGGCCACGATGAAGGGGATGCTGAGCAGGTAAAGCAGGTCAGCCAGGGCTAGGTTGACCACGTAGATGTGCATGGAGGCGGAGGTCTGCAGGAAGCGGCACACAACCACTAGCGTGTACATGTTGCCTGCCACGCCCAGGACACCCATGGCGGAGAGCACAGCCCCCAGGATCCCTACAGCCACCAGATCCTGCAGGGAGCTGTGCTCTGTTGGGCTGACCCAGGAACTGTTCAAGGATCCATTGAGGCCACCGGGCAGCTCTGGCACAGGGCTGCCGGTCTCAGCCAGCAGGGGGAAGCTGCATGTGGACTCTGGGCTCAGTGCCATCGCTGCCTCACGCTGGGCCTTGGGCTGGCTGTGCTGCTCCTGGAAGACAGAGGTCTGTGGGCAACGGCTTGTCCTGCGGAAGAGATGCCCATCTGAGGGCAAGGTGGTGCCCCTTTTACACCCCGATGCTCTGTGCCAGTGGAGCTCCCAGGGGCTCTGCCTGCCACAGAAGGGTAGGGCTCACCTCCAGCCTCCTTGGGGACTCAAGACAGTGGCTTTACTTTCCCAAGAATCCCAAAAACCACTAGTACCCAGGCCTGCTCCAGCAGGACCCCAGCCCAGGCTTCCATCCCACAGCCTCCAGGGTTCACTAAATTGGTCCCCTGCCCCCAGTAGTAGGAACTGAACCAGCACCTTCCCACTGAGCTACATTCCCAGCCCCTTCCCCTCTTTTGAGACAGGTTCTTGCCAAGTTGTCAAACTGCCTGGGTGGGACTCCAGCTTGCCATTCTCCTGCCGCAGCCTCCCAGAGCGCTGGGATCACAGGTGTGTTGACTAAGCTTTTCTGAAAAGCAGAACACAGCAGTGTAGCCCTCTTGGGGCAGAAACCAGCAATGGCTCCAGTCCTGCCTACCCCAGAATCCTTTCTTATTTTATTTGATGTGAACATTAAAACAATGTTTTCTTCTAATAATGTTAACTTATAAAAGTAGTAGTTGCTTACTTCAAAGGTGCAGATAGAAAAATATGTGAGGTAAAGGGAAAAGGTCTTTGTGACCTCTATTTATCAAGAACACAGGAGAGGGCCAGGGATTTAGCTCAGCAGCCTAAGCACCTGCCTGGTAAGTGCAAGGCCGTGAGTTCAATTCCCGGTACCAAAACCAAAACAAAAACAAAACAAAAAAATAAAACAAACAAACAAACAAACAAACCACAGGCGAACATGTGCATGGCCTTCAGAAGTACTTCATTACCGAAGGCTGGGAGATTACCAGAAAACATGTATCAGACAAAGAACTAGTAATTGAAATATGTGAGAGAACCACAAATCAAAGAACAGCAACCCATTTGAGGGGAGAGGCAAAAACCTTGGACAGTACTTGTGGGAAGAGGACACATAGAGGCCACTGTGACATGAACAAATGCTCAGCACATGCATCATCAGGGAAATAAAAATCAAAACTACACAAGAGCGACTCCACAGCATCAGAAAGACACTACCAGAGGTCACCCAGCGAGCGTCAGTGCCGGGAGGAAGTGGAGGAACTGGAACTCTATCACTCTCACTGGGATTGTAAAATGGTGCAATCGCCTCAGAAAATAACTTGGCCAACAGGTGCATACTGCCTCCCTAGCAACTGCACTCTTAGGTCTGTACCCAGGAGAAACAATTGCAAATGTCTACAGGAGGACAAAAATAAGAATATCTACAGAGACTTTAATAATGACTAAGAAACAACCCGAATGTGCACACACAGTAGCATGGATGAGCAAACTGTGATTTCTCCACAATAATGCTCCAGAGTATCGAAGAAGATGAATTATTGCTGCAGTCAACAAATGGTGAAACTCATTCACACCATGTTTAGCGAAGCTCATTGTGCCCAGAAAGCACTCAGCATTGCCTGGGACAGTGAGGGCCATGGCAGTATCAGTCCAGGGTGATCTATTATCCCTCAGTCCTCTGGTGCCTGGAGCTCTTCTTGCCTTGCTCTGGGGGTGAACACATAAAAACCTCTAAATTGCCAGGTGTGGTGGTGCACATTTTTAATCCCAGCACTGGGGAGGCTGAGACAGGAGAATCACTGAGAGTTGAGGCCAGCCTGGGCTCCATTGTAGGTTCAAGGCCAGCCTGGACTGCACAGCAAGACCCTGTCTCAAACAACACACCTCTGAGTTGTGGTGGGGTGGTGCACCCAGTAATCCCAGCACTCTAGGAGGCTGAGGCTAGAAGATCACAGGTTCCAGCCTAGCCTGAGAGACTTAGTGACTTCACTGGATCCTGTCTCAAAATTTTAAAAAAGACTGTGATGTAGCTCAGATCCCCAGTGCCACAAAAAAAGGACATTGGGACACACCACACACACACACACACACACACACACACACACACACACACACGCACACATGCACACACTGGCGGGAAGGGAAAATTCTTAAAGGCGACGGAAGACCCATGCCTTCCCCAGCCCAGCACAGTGTCCCTGCGCAGCCAAGCTGGTAAAGATAAATTCAGGGTGTGCGCCCCAGCGCGGGCGAGGAGGGAACCTGCGCCCCAGGGCGGGGAGCCCCCTGGGCTGAGGTGTGGGGCCCCAACGGCGCCCACAGCGCAGCTCCTGGGCGCGGGACCCCAGCCGGGGTGAGGTTCAGCCCGCGGGGAGGGCGCGACCTCCCTGTCCCAGGGGCCGGGGGCCCCGCACCGCCCACGGCCCCACAGCCGCGTGCGGGGGAGGCCCGCGCTCACCTCGGCCCCGCGCTCACCCGGCCATCGCCGCGCGCGCCCTCCGCGTCCCCGCCCCGTCTCCTCCGGGCCGCGCCGGGCGCCCGCACCGCGGGCCGCCAGCTGGGAATGCGCCTTCCCGCGCCAGCCGGGTATTAATAACCCGCGCCGCCCGGATCGCGGGCGCGGACCCCAGAGGGGCTGGCCCGGCCGCGGCCCTGTAGCCTCGCCCCCGCGTGCCCCGCCCAGCTTCGGGTTTTCTGCTGTCGATCAAGCACCGGGCACTCAGGGGAGACGGCGGGACCCCGAGATCCCAGTCCTTCCCAGAAAGCATTTGGGTCTTGAAGGAACCCAGCTTGGGATGAGGCCAAGCAGCAGCTCCCATGGAGCGGCAGATTGCCACTGTCTCCGGCCGTCCAGCCTCTTCTGTCAGGGCCGTGGGAGCTCACAGCTTCCTCGCTTACCGGCCAAACCCACCTAGAGACACTGGAGAGCAAGAAGTAACCCAGGATGTCACCCTGGAGGCAGCATCACGATCTCCACCCGCCCACTGGGATGCAGTCTGCAGAAGCCCTGTGCTCTGGTCCTGCCCATTGGGCCTCTGAGTGCTTCTTTGAGACCAGAGTCTTCCTGGTGACTGCCCCGCCCCCGTTCTCTTATTGTACTTTTTTCCTCCCAGGTTTTGTCCTAAATTTGTCTGTCTCTGAACCAGAAATTGACCCTGGAACTGGCTGTACCTCCACGGTGCCCATAGAGCCAGGTGGCCACGGTCCCCCCAGGGCGGGGTCGGAGAGGATGGGGATTTATAATGAAACCAAGGGCACACTCTGTGACAGGGAACAGGCTATGTAATAGATTATATGGGAGTCAGCTTTATGATGAAGCCCCTAACAGTCCCCAAGGTTGATGTGAAATTGCTTCACAAACAGGTATGTGAAAGGCTGGGTGCCCCTGGCTCTGGATGAGATGCTAATCACCCAGCACTCCTGAGGCAAGATGGCATCTGCTGAGGACAGTTGTCAAAATACAGCCAGGTGTGGTGACGCACGCCTGTAATCCCAGCACTCGGGAGGCTGAGGAAGGAGGTCCCCTCACTGTGCCTTCAACATGGGAAGGAAAAGGGCATCTTCTGGTAGGTGTCTGGTCTGGGGTTCAGGGCCAGCCACAGGGAACTTGGGACCCCAGTTCCACTCTACCCCTGGTTCAGGGGACAGCTGTGTGGTGGACACAGGGAGATTGTACCGTGTCCAAGCAAGTGTGGGGATAGTCTCTCTGTGTAGCACCCTCCCACGTCAGGTGATCCAGGGCAGCATTGTGTTTAGCCAGGCTTCTGGCCCACGAGAGCTCAGGACACAGAGGAGCCTCTAGGACCCAAAGGTCGGCCCAGATCGAGCTGTCCAGGTCTCTGCATATCCTGGCCTGCTGTAAGTTCACAAGAGACCAAAGACACCTCCTGCTTTTCTAGGAGGGGCTCCCGACCCTTGTCCCTGGGGTGACAGGCTATAGAGCCACAAACCATGTAGCAATGTCCTCTGTACCATTTCTACCAAAAGGGAAGGACTGACACCCATGCAGCGTGGATGCTGGTCAGACCCTGTGGATGGTGGGGATATTGGGCTGTCCCAAGAGCTGGGGGCAGGGTGGAAGGAACAGGAAGAAGGGGCAGAGAGGGAAAGAGCTCAGACCTCAAATGCCACCTCTATCATATGGCCTGGAACTGAGAGAAGCTATGGTGCTCAGATGGGAGCCAGTGCCCAGAGCTGATGAGGTTCATGGCCTTAGACTGCTGCCCTCACCCCACGTGTTCAGTGTCCAGGGGCCCACGAGGCTGCTAGGCCCCTGGGACAGATGTGGGAGGGGGGCAAGGTTGATGGTGGGCAGAGTCTGGGTGGCCCCAGGAGCCAGGGCTAAGCTGTGCAGAATGCTGGGGTTGCAAGCCCTCCTATACCAGTGTGCCTGGGAGCTGGCAGTCACGCTTTCTCCTTTCAAGTTTCATGCACTGCAGCTTTCTCAGTCCTGGTTCCCAGAGAGGCAGCTGGAGAGAAGACAGCATCTATCAAGTCAATTAAAACTTGCACAGGTCTCCAGCTAGGGAGGGGGGCAATTACTTACTGGCTCACCTCGGGTATCTGAGCAGTCTGGAGTGGTCAAAGTTGCTGGAGCTGGCAGGCCTGGGGCCAAATTCAGAGGGTCCCTGACCGGAAATGCCCAAGCTCCGCAAAGCTGAAACTAGGCACTAAAAACTGTCCAGCATCTGAGCAATCTGCCCTCAGAATCAGCATCAGGTGGCCTCCTACTCCTGACACAGATTCTGGGAATCCACCATTGCAGTCTTCCTGGTCCCACTGGGTGGCCTTTGGGAAACAGACCTCCGCTCAGGATCCTCGAGTCCTGGTGAAGAGGCTGATTGCAGACAGCGCAGAGGTCTGCAGGACTGCAAATGGGAGTGGGTGCTGCATGAGGTGGGAGCTCCAGGAGCAAACAGCCCAGCTGGACCATGTGTCCACACCACACCCGGGGTCACACCGCTGACCCTGCACCCAGTAACAGAATGTGGGGCTACCCGTCCCTGCCTTGCCGCTGCAGCTGCTCATCCATCAGGACCTCCTGGCCCTGGCCCCTGGGGTCTGCCACCCCACAGGACCTCACTCTCGCAGCTCCAGGGCCTTGTAGACACTGCTGGCAATTCCACTGATAATTACTCCACCCACCCTTGAATGACACCTGGAGCTGTGTGGGGTCAAAGAAGCTGCAGAGTGACTTTCTCTGCTGCTCCCTCCCTCCCCCTCAGGCTGGCAGTGGTCCTGGTCCAGGCCCCCTCACACTGCTATCACAGACTATCAAGTGCTGACCCCAGCCCCCCTCCTGGGACCACTTATTTTGAGCAGTCTGGTCCTGGGGTCCAGTGTCCATCCTGTGCCTCGGGCTGGGCCTCAGAATCCAGAAATGGGGCTCCTCCACCATAAGATGTCCCCGTGCCCCGAGGAGGCTCTGCTGGGATGGTCCCCTCTGGGTCCATGCTGGCATGGACCCCTCTGGTCTCTGAGGGCAGGAGGAGTCAAATTCCCAGTTGTGATCAACACTGCTGGTCAATACCAGTCCTTGGCTGACTTGGGCCTCCAACCGCATGGAGCCTCTGAAGGCCTGGCGGGTCTTGACCACCTTCTTCCCAGGAAATCTAGACCCACGATCCTGCTCAATGGACAGAGATGGCAGTCCCCACCTCTGGCTCCCTCCAGACCCAGGGATGCTGGTGACACCTGGCAGGCTCCTAGTGCATGTTTCTGGGATGGGCCTAACCTGCAGGGCCAGGTGCTGTGTTCCCGGTGTGCTTCCAGCTTGCTCACCTACCCGGCCTTCCTGTCCATGCCCTTCCAGCCCCTGAGGCCTGGTGCATACACACTCACCAGGTCTGCCCTTTGTGGGCAGGGCACCACTGCCTAGGAGAGCATACCTCTGTCATGTACATTCAGAGTCCCTGTCAACGGAAGCCTTGGATGCTGTCGGAAACTGGCCTGAGTTGTGTGCAGAGAGGATTCACTGCCACAGGCTCCAGGTTGGTGGAAGCAGCCGGGCAGGTGACCAGGGCAGACTGGTGCTCCTGACTCACGCAGGAGCTGCAGCAGCCAGCAGATGCTGAGGGGATGCTGTGCACCCCTCAGGTGTTCAGTAGGGGGCTGCTGCAGGCATCCAGCAGAAAACTGGCAGTTATGAGCCGGTGGGCCTGTGTGCTGGGATCTTTACATTTGATTGTTGTAAAACCGTGATGGAATTCTTGTGTGAACTACTTGAAATGAAAACCTCAGCACCCTTGTGTATCCCACACTGATGTGAGCCTGCTCTGCCTCTGGAGGGGGGCTGAGTGCGGCAGCGCTGTTGTAAGCACACGTGTGTGTGCTCACCTTTAGAGTGTAAACCCAGTGGAACTGTGGGGCACATGGTAGCCATGTTTATTTTAGGGAGATACATTTGATATTATGGCATCTTTGCCATCAACTTTATTATTTTATTTTATTTTTTGAAGACAAGTTTCTTGCTACGTGGTTCAGGCTGGCCTTGAACTTATTATGTAGCACAGTCCAGCCTTGAACTTGTGGCAATCTTCCTGCCTCGGCCTCGCAAATGCTGGGATTACGTATGTGTGCTACCACACCCGGCCACCATAAACTTTAGAGCTGCTTTGTCCCCTGTTCACATGAGAGGAGCTGAGAAAGCAGCAGTCTTAAAAGGCAGAGCTGAGCCCTGTGTACCCACAGGGGTGTGGGCAGCCGTCTCTCCTGATCTAGGCTCACACCCAACCTGGGCACACGGGGACTCCAGAACACCACATAGCAGGAGGATCATTTACAATGAAATGCTCCAAACAAGGTCTGCCGGATGCTGATGGATGGACTGTTTAACCAGGAACGAGGGGCAACAAAGACACCAGGCCGAGTCTGTTCAGAGAAAAGTGGGGCGCACACTTGGACACTTGCTTCCCACCCCTGAACGCGGGCAGTTTCGTGGGTGCCTTACAATAACTGTTCTGAACAACTGTGTGTGGAGGCCTTTTTCCCTTTGAGCAGCATCAGAAACCCAGAGACCTTTGTGATTTACAAGTCAGAGACTCAATTCTAGAAGGTATGTGAAGGAAGGATGGACCTCAAAGCTCGGTGAAAGGAGCCCGGCCAGAGGGCAAATGCCAGTCATGGTATTCTGGAAGGCTGAGGCAGGAGGGTCACAAGATAGAGCCCAGCCTGAGCAACTTAGCAAAAGCCTGCCTCAAATGTAAAAATATATAAGAAACGGAGTGGAGATGCAGTGTGAAGGCCCTCAAGAAAAGAAAACAAACAGCAGACACCTCCAGGGTGCAGCTTTTCTGCTCTCCTGGAAGCAGCTTGGCCTACCTTTTGTTCTAGTTTATTAGTACATAAATGCAGTATATCATATCTGCATTCCTTGTGGGAAGTTGATACACCTAAATAAAATCTTTTTTTGTTTTTTTGAGACAGGGTCTCACTGTGCAGCACGACTTGAACTCATAGCAATTCTCCTGCCTCAGTTTCCTAAGTGCTGGAATTACAAGTATGAGCCACCATCCCCAGCAACACATTTTTAATTCCTTCTTTCTTCCCCTTTCCTTTCTGTTCCTCCCCCATCCCTTGAGGCCCCCCCACTTTTCAGTTTTAGTTTATTAGGACATGTAAAATATATCATGTTTACATTCCTGGTGGGAAGTTGGTACATGTACATAATACTTTGGGTTTTTTTTTGTACCAGGGATTGAACTCATGACTTCATGCTTACCAGAAAGTGCTTGAGCTAAATCCCCAGCCTTCAGTTTTTTGAGGCAGGGTTTCACTGTATATTTCAGGTTGACCTATGTAGCCCAGGATGGCCTCAAATTCAAAGCAATCCTCCTGCCTCAGCCTTCTGAGTGCTGGGATTATAGGTGTGTGCCACATGTGGAAACACATTTCCTTTTTTCATCTCATTTCCCTTTGCCCCTCCCCCTTCCCTCATACATGTTCCTAGTACATAATGTTGGCTTTCCTTGTGTGGAGCTGGTATGGATACGTAACACATCCAGCTGCCTTGAACCATACAGGGCTGCACAGCTAGTCAACACTGAGGAATGTGGGAACCTCCAGGTTACCTCCAGTGGGAGGTACGCAGGGAGGTACCCTCCAGTGGAAGGGATGCAGCTGCCCTGAGTCTCCCCATACCACACCCCTGAAAACTGGCTCCAGTGCCTTTTCTGCAGAGCACACAGGTGCTGAAGCATGCACCAGGGTCTTTCAGACATTAACATCCTCTAAAGACAGTTTGTCCTATAGGTTTTTTTTAGGTTCTGAGGCACACATTTGTATTTGTCTATTTGGTGAAAAGTGATTTTGAAACTTGTGGGCCCTACATGCACATGTGACTGAATAACTTCTGTGACGCAACTCCCCATGTGGCCCCTACCCCCACTGCCTGATGGGATTTTTAGACTCGAAAGGACTCTTGTTGAAGACAGATCCAGAACATCCAGAACATCCCCACAAGGACTTGGTGCAAAGCTCATAAAACTTTATTTAACTGAAACTCAAAAAAGGAACAGGAGTTAAACAGTAAAACTGCATAAAAAGCCAACAGTGGAAAGCAGTTTCCTCTCAAAGAAAAGCAGAGACCCCAGATGCTGAACCATCATACACTAGAACACACCGAGATGGCCCACGTGCTCTTCGGTGGTGTCATCCACACGAGGTCTTTTCACATGGCCAGAGCACTGTGCTGTGATCACTCCCAAGTCACACAGCACACAGCCCTCCACCTTGGCAACTCCAGGTCTGTGTGATGCTTTGAACTATGACAGTCACCTGGTATTGAACACAGGTAAGTCCCCACTACCCAACAAGTCCAATTCCCAGTCCACACTCAGTCCAGTTCCCACACTCAGCTCCTCAGTTCCCTGGCTCAGGGCCGAAGGGCTGGAAGCAGGACAGCTCCCCCAGTGCCAAGACGCCCCTGACAGCCAGGCTTTCTACAGGGCCCCTGGGAACACGGCTCCCAGTTTCCAGGGGCCCAGGGTCCTGACCCCAGGTGGGGAACCACGAAGCAGAGGCTGAGTGCCCCTCATTCACACACCAGGGTGAGTAAGATACGATGGTGAAGCCTTTCTTCTGCAGGATTGCATATGCAGGGAACAGCTGCTCCTGCTCACCATGCGGTGTTTTCTCCAGGACGCTCAGCTGGCATTGCAACAGATCGTGTGGCTGGGCAGATTCCTGGAGCTTCAGCACCCACACCTCGGCAGGCTCCAGCAGCACTCTCCAGCGCTGGCCCACGCTCCTCATGGCCTGACCTGGAGTCATCTTCCGAAGGTAGATGGTGGAATCCTGGTAGCCTACCACGAAAAAGACCTGCAAGCCCAGCAGCCAGGCCTCAGCCTCCTCTGGTTCCACTGGCCACATGGTGCCCAGCTCCAGCACCATGGGCTCCACGGGAGCCAGGGTCACACTGGGGAACAGCTGTGGAGGTGGGGGCCTTGGCCAGTGACTGCAGGCGGGAAGCCCCTCGAACCTCCAGGGAAGGGCCTGGGTCCAGTCACCATGCTCGGGACCCAGGCCTAGAGGCACTGCGCTTTGAGGCTCCAGCTCGGTGGGCACCACGGGGTCGTCCAGGAAGTCTTCCTCTGGCCCCTCCGAGGCTGGCACCAGGGCCCAGGACCCCCAGCCAGGCCCCGGCCCCAGAGCTGCCGCCTGCTCATGCTCTGCCTCGTCCAGCTCCATGGGGTCCCAGTCTTCATCCTCCCAGTCCTCTGACTCCAGCGAGTCTTTGAGGTCCAGGAAGGCAACCTTGAAGCAGGCAAAGCAGACCTCTAGAGGGCTTCCGTGCTGGAGCTCGTACAGCCAGGAAGCGTACAGGTAGGCCAGGCCCTCCCTGCTCTGGCGCACCACCACCGGGGGACACATGGCCGCGTTGCGTTGCTGCCTCTGGGGGCGAGGAGCACGAGGGCGCTTGCTGGCTAGGACCAGTGAAGTGCTGGCCGGGGGGCGGGAAGGAGCCAGGCAGGCGCAGAACGGTGTTTCTCGTTCAGAAACTTGGGAGCGGGTCAGAGGGAATGGGTCCCAGTGGAATGCGGACCTGCGAAGGTTAGCGAGTCTGAGCTTTCTGGAAACTTCTCCAGCTAAGCGCGGCTGTCTCTGGGAAGACAAAGGAAGTAGGGTGAGGTGCCCCCTGGTGGGCCGGCTGCTGGGGCCCTGATGAGTGGTGTGGGGTCCAGGCTCGTTGGTTGGCCCCACTCAGCTTGGGCTGCAGTGTCAGGGGTCCCTAGCTAACCCCCAACCTCGCTGAACACCCCGACACCCTCAGAGCCCGAGATCCCTCTGTCCGGCTCGTGGCGCTCGGACCCGGAAGAGGGAGCGAGAACGCTCCCTGACCCCAGGGGCCCAGGAGGACTGAAGAGCCTGTTCCCCTTGGGCCTTAGCCCAGCCTAGGCCGCGACCCCCTCCTGGCGCCCCTCACCTTCCAAGCCTCGTGCCTCAGCTCCCAGGAGCCTGCAAAATAGGCCGCGCGCGCCTCAGCTTTTAAAGGGCTCCCATGGTGCCTCGGGGCTATTTGCATATCTCCCATGAGCCCTGGCTTCAGGAAGAGGAAGTGCTGGCCGCGTGCAACGGAAAGGAGCTGTAGTGCCCCCACCTGCAGACTGCTCTCTGCCTCGACACTGCCGGGGTTCCATGGGCGTGGCCACTGTGCCTTCCTACAAAGTCCAGATTCCCGTTTTCTCTGGCGGTTTGAAGTCACTTGCCTTCTTTCTATCTTTCCAATAAAGTTTTGTTTTTTGTTTTGTTTTTTTTTTTTTTTAATTTTGTAAACTGATTTGTTATTCCCCGCACACGCTGGTCCAGTATGGACGCTGCCCCAGAGTGGTTTGTTGATTACAACGGAGCAGCTTCCTAGGGTTTACGTCTGCACTGCCCTGCTGTTGGCCATCCTATGGGTCTGGACACCCATGTGATGACATGGACTCACCACCACCGTCTCACACTGAGCAGTTTCACCGGCTGAAATCCTGACGCTGCCCCTGCGCATCCTTCAGCTAGCCCTGGCCTCAGCCTGATCTCCGCTCCTCCTTGTTTTTCTTTTTTTTTGAGACATTGCCTCGCCATGTAATTCAGACTGGCCTTGAGCTCACTATGTAGTCCAGGCTGGTTTGAACTTGTGGAGATCCTTCTGCCTCAGCCTCCCAGGTGCTGATATTACAGGCATGCGCCATCATGCCTAGCTGGTCTTTATGTTATGTAACCTTTTGACTTCCTTTGTTTTCTGATATGCATGTAAGTCTCCCCCATGACCTTAATAGCTTGATAGCTTCATTCATTCATTCATTGTTTCTGTTTTGTGTTTTGAGACAGCTGTTGCCTTATAGGGCAGGGTAGTCTTGAACTCACTATGTAGACTAGGCTGGCCTTGAACTTGTTAGTGGTCATCCTCCTGCCTCAGCCTCCCGAGTGCTGGGGTTCTTAGTGTGGGCCACTACTCCTGGTTTAGCTTTTTTTTTTTGTACCAGAGATCGAACTCATGAGGTAGTGCTTGCTAGGCAGGCACTTACACTGCTGAGCTAAATCCCCGGCCCTGGTCTTGCTTTTTTAAGTGCAGCATAATTTTTTGTTGAGTGGACAAACCACCTTTATCTATTCACTTATTGGAAAATATGGCTGTCACTTCCAGGTTTTGGTAATTGTGAAAAAAGCTGCTATAAACATTTCTGCTCATGCTTTGTGAATGTAAGTTTTCGTCTCATCTAGACAAGCACCACGGAGTGGCACTGGTAAGAAACTGTTCAGTTTTGTAAGAAACTGCTAACCTGTCCTTTACAGTGGCAAAGTGGCACCAGTTTACAGTTCCACCTGTAGCATGGGAGAGCTCTGTTCCACATTTTTGCCAACATTTGGTGTTGTCAGTGTTTTGCATTTGGTCATTCTAGGAGTTTCGGTGGTATCTAGTGGTTTTAATTTGCAGTCTAATCATAATGCTGTATTAGTCCATTAGGGCATCTGTAGCAGAAATGGCATAAACAAAAATCTATTTCTTAGAGTTCTGAGGTGGGAAAGTCCTAGGACAAGGCTTGGGCTGAGTCAGCGTCTGGTCAGGGCTACTTCTTAGACAGCTATCTTTCACTGTTTACCTCTTGTGGCCAAAGGGCAAAAGATGGCTATGTGTGTCTTTCACGAAGGCTCATGGGTTGGAGTGTACTCTGTTCCCTATACTTCAAAAAAAAAAAAAGTATAAAGGCACTAATCCCTTTTGTGAAAGCATAACCCCCTTGGCTCACCTCCTGACACTATCAGTTTAAGGCTGAGATTTCAGGATGGGGTTTGAGTGGCATACAGAGACGTCCCCAGCCCAGAAGAAGCTGGCGTCTTTTGTGTGCTCCTTTGCATGTTTACTCTGGTGCATCTCCTCTGGTGAGGCGTCGGATGGGGTCTTTTTGCTCATTTTTAAATTGCATTGTTTTCTTACAGTTGAGTTTTAAAAAGTTCTTTGTATATTTTGAATTAAGTCCCATATATCTTTTGTATATATTTTCTCCTAATCTATGCCTTATGTTTTTATTCTCAATAGTGTTTTTCATAGAGGCTAGATTTGAAAACAAAATTGTTGAATCCAGGGCCTTTGCACTGAGCTATATCACCAGTTCTTTTTAATTTGTTTTGTTTTGTTTTCTTGAACCAGGGTCTTTCTAAGTTGCCAAGGCTGGGCTCAAACTTATGCTTCTCCTGCCTCAGCCTCGCAAAGTGCTGAGATAATAGATACGTGGCACCATTCCTGGTTAGATTTTTAATTTTGATGAAGCCCAGTTTATCAGGTATTTCTTTTGTGGATCATGGCTTTGGAGTCGTATCTAAGAAGGCTACTTTATGTAGAGTCATCTAGATTTTCTTGTTTTTTTTTTTCTGTAACTTTTATAGTTTTGTTTTATAGTGAGGTTCGTGATGTGTTTTTTGTTGGTTTTCTGTGAAGAATCTGTGTCTAGATTCAGCTTTTTTTTATGTGGTTATTTGGTTGTTCCAGTACCTGCTGTTGAAAAAACTGGCTTTTGTCTAGTATGGTTCCTTTGTTCCTGTGTCAAAGATCAGTGGTATTTACATGGGTCATGGGTACTCCTTTAATCTTTTAGATACAGTCAAACGTGTCGGCCTTAAAATATATATATGTTTTGTTAAAATGATGTCCTTGCCAGGTGTGGTAGCACACACCTGTAATCCCAGCACACTGGAGGCTGAGGCAGGAGAATCACCATGAGTTTGAGGCCAGCCTAGGCTACATAGTGAGATCAAGGTCAGCCTGAACTGCATAGCAAGGAGACCTTGCCTCAGGCAAAACAAAACAAAGATTCCTAGTACCCAGAGGTCACATAGTAGTTTTCTATATATTTTATTGATTTCAAAATATTTTTGTCTGTTTTTTAGTCTAGTTGGCTGCCATGGTGAAACACCATAATTAGGTGGCTTAAACAACTCTCTTGCTGTCCGGAGGCAAAGTTGTGGATCAGGACCCCAGGGGCAGGTTCTGTGGCGTGGCCTGTCTCTTGCCATGCTGCTTCCTGGTTTGCTGAGTGCTGCCCCGGAGGACAGAGTAGGGATCAGAGACCAGAGCTTCCGCTCCTAACTGGCCCATCTCCAGTCTTCCCAGTGTTAGAGCTGCAACATGGGTGTTCTGGAGAAACTCAGTTCAGTCTATAGACTTTTATTTGCATTAAAAAAAACATACATATATATACGGAGTTGCTTTTGTTAGTGTAATACACGAGTGTAAAAAGATGGTTTTTGTAGCCACCTACCGAATCGATTAAGTCATTCAGCGCTTCTCTCCCATCTCCTATCCATCTGCACTTGAGCTGTCTCCCGGCATATGTGACCACCACCCTGAGTCTGCACCAGGGCTGGCGTCAGTGGCTGGCCCAGCCTGGGCTGTGGCTGCAGGAGGCTGCACTGGTCTCTGGGTTCATGACAGCAAAGGTCCTGGGATCCTAGGTTTGTGCTGCACCTTAAATTTTTCTTGGGAGCTTTGAGAAGTCACAGTGCTCTTTGTCACAGCATATGACAGACACACTCAATGCAACCCCAGCAAGTCACACCTTCCTTTTGGTTGGGGTGGACACTTTGACTTGCTATGATCAGTGGAAGTGGCTGAGGAGATGAGTGTCACCTTTGGTTATGTATTATATGTAGATACTTGTCACGTGTATTATGGGACTTTACGTACCTTATTACATATTTTACATGTACACATATATTGTGTGTGTGTGTGTGTGTGTGTGTGTGTGTGTGTATGATACCAGGAGATTCATACTGAGCAAGATTCACAGCCTTTTTTATTTTTTTTGTTTTGAAACAATGTCTTACCAAATTTCCTAGGCTGGGCTTGAATTTGTAATCCTCCTGTCTTAGCCTCCCAGAGTACTGGGATTATAGTTATGCCTGGCCTATAGTTCATTATTTTATTGAGTTTTTCCTTTTTTATATTTTTCATTGTTTAGAATTCTTTTTTTTTTTTTTAAATGAAACTTGTTTGGTTTTGTGTTCTTGTAGAACTGGGGATCAGATTCTATGCCCTGTGCATGCTAGGCAAGAGCTATATACCTAGCACTGGTAGGTTATTTTCTTTCCTGGCACTTTGTTTCTTCTAGATTTCTTTTTCTATTAATGCTTCTTGACTTACAACAAGATTATGTAAACCCTTAGGGGCTGCAGGTTTAGCTCTGCGGCATAAGCGCCTGCCTTGCAAGCAGGCAGTCGTTCGATCCCTGGTACCGATAAAAAGGAAAAAGACCAAAAAAAAAAAAAGATTATGTAAACCCATAAATTCATGGTACATTAACAATATGTTGAACTGGATGTGGTGGCACACACTATAATCTCAACGTTTGGGAGGCTGAAGCAGGAGGATTGCCATGAGTTCAAGGCCAGCCTGAACTGCACAGCAAGACTCTGTCTCAAAAACAAAAACACAACAACGAAAACCCAACCAAACAAAATGAGCATGAAGCTTCACTGACTCCTGTCACGGAAAAAGAATTTGCAGGAAGAGTCAGTAAAAAGAAGCAAGAGAAAGCTTTATTAGAGGGAGATGTAGGACCCACTTAAGAGTGGAGTGTGGGGCTTGGCTATTTAGCTCAGTGGCATAAGCGCCTGTTGTAAATTCGATCTCTGGTATTGGAAAAAAAAGTGGGGTGTGGGCATGCAGAGAATTGAGGTGCCTTCATGTATACTTTTATAAATCTATACTACACAAGCATTTTCTATACTTGTGATGTTCCCCTCCCCCAGTCATCCCCCCTCCCCTCACCCTTCCCCTCTTCTTAGTGGAAGCAGCCTAGCTGTGAGTTCTAGGGAAGCAGCCCTGGGCTGAAGCAGCTGCAGCTGGGATGTGGATGTACCTCTGCCAACAGCCAACAGAGGCTGTGGCCGAGGGTCCACTGCCAAAAGAAGGAGCATTCTGCCCACTGTGGGCATGGCCGAAGAGACTCCTGCAGGGCTGATGGAGCTGGGATGAGGGGTAGTGGGGGTCTTGGCTGTTGACTAGAGAGAGGATGGATGTCAGT